ATGGTCACAGTCCCTTGAGTTTGTGCTCAAGGATACTGCTCTACCACTTCAGGAAGAACTACACTTGTGGATTTTTTAGTGTTTACTTGGAGATAAGAGTCTCAAGGACTTTCCTGCTCAGGCTGGCTTTGAATCATGAGCCTCAAATCTCAGCCTCCTGAGCAGCAGCTAGGATTACAAGCATGTGCCACTGGTGCCCAGCTTGAAGGCAATTTTGATAGTTTTCTAGAGTAGGTTAGATTGTATCTTCCCTAGCAGATCAATACTTAAGTCAGTAAATAAAGTGAAGAGTGTTAACTGTTTGCAGGGTTACGGATAAACTCCAGGAATTTTCTATGCTAGGCAAGTGCTCTGCCCCTGAGCTACATCTCAGGCTGCAAAATGATGTTTTTAACCAACAACTATTTTAACAAATAATGTCACTGAACTTTGAAAATATTCAGGGAATTTATGTGGAATTTATTACCGAAATACTTGTCTAAATTTGCTTCTAACTGGATTTTTTAAAGCCTCTAGCTATTTTAGGCCTTCCTAAAAAGAGGTTATCTGCTGCTTGAATGTGGTATCTTCCCTTCCTGATTCTCGTCTTTCTGTTAAGGCTATTTTGAAATGACTTACATCTAATTTTTTCTCCTCCTAGGATATTAGGATTTGAAATTTGAAGGGATCCAACACATTATGGAGTTAATAATTCTTGTCTGGTCCTTCTACTAAATGATTATAGTTTAGAGAATAAGTAAGAAAAGCACATCCCCCATTCTTGTCATATCATTTCAGAACATCATTTTCAATTTTGATAACTTCATTCCATATATTTTGAAATTAAAATCAATATAGATTACGTTTTAGACAATTTTGACAGGATTGCCATAGACTCAAATACTTTCAATATAATGCACATACGTTGAAAAATGCTTCTCATTTTCAAATTAACGAGGCATGCTGAACAATGATTAGTCGAAGTTACTGGCAGGAAAAAAAATTCTTTATAAGGTGAAGTCATAGGTAGAAATTACATTTGAGTTACATATAGATTTCTTGGCTACAAGTCCCTGTTTGTTGGTGTAGCAGGCAGACTATGAGAGATCTTTGTATTTGCTTCTTTGTATTTGTACCTTTGTTTATTGCTCTCTCTTTTAGGATGGATGGGGCTTGTGACTTGCTACTAAACAATAGCATATGGCAGAAGTGATAGGTTGCTACTTCCTTGATTATGTTGCATAAGATTGTGACTCTGATTATGCCAGTTGAAATAAAGAAAACTTTCACTGACTTTTCAGTGTGGTTAAATTCAGGGCAAAGGAGATTGTCTTCGGAGTCTAGGTCAACTATGTAATTGTAAGGAAAGAGGAAAATAAGAGAGATTTGAAAACCATGTACTGCTGGTTAAGAAGATAGATGGAGCCACAAGTCAAGGAAAACCAGTCATAAACTAGAGGTGAAAACGACTCCAGCATGAATGTCCTTTAAATAGCATGTCGATTTCAGCAAAACCCAACTTAGACTTCTGCCTTTTAGAAACATATGGTAGGAAATTCATAAATTTTAGCCCTTGATTTTGTCATAATTTGTTACAGCAGCAATAGGAAGCCAGTACCTTACCTATGCTTATTTACATCATAACCTCCAGAGACTCATTTGCTCCTAACAGCTATTGTACAAGATCTATGAAGATCATCTTTGCTTTCCAGAAGTGAACAAATCAATATGATACCACTGATCATTGAGAGGAAATTAGCACTTTTCTCACAGCCTCATGGGCCATCCATTTTCTTGCCCATTCTACCTCATGATTTGCACTGGTCTTTCTCTTATCTTTCATTTACCTTTTAATGGTTTCTTCTTGAGGTTTTACCTCATTTATTCAATGATTGTTTGATCTCCTGACCATCTAAGTAAAGAGAAGTTGGAAATAAATATAGCAAGCTTATCTCAGGGGGTGTAATCGCTCTTTTCCCCCATTGGTCATTTAAAATAGATCCCTGAGACCAGTTCTAATCCAAACTTTCAGAGAGGTCCCACAAATGTATTAAAAAGGTTCAAAAAAGTCGCTAGTCAAATGTACATTTGTCATGACAGTTTGTAATCTGTAATTAAAATGCTCCATTGAGCCAGGTATGGTGGTATATACTTCTAACCCAGCTAGGTAGAAGGTAAAGCTAGAGAGATTGCAAAGCAGCATTGGCTTCAATTCCAATCACGACCAAAATAATAAATCTAGAAATAAAATGTTTACTCACCCGGTAATAATTTACTTCCAAACTCCATAAACTCTCTTGCACCTATTTCAGTCCTCAACATCATGGTGTGGGTTCAAGAGCATTGTTAATGTTTTCTCTATTTGTTTATCTCCTTCCAATTTGAAATGGGGCCATGATAATGAGATGAAAAGCAGGAAAGTTCTCACTTGATTGACACTCGTAGAATCCCTACATTGTTTTCCATTGTCTATGGAAGATAATGATCATTGGCTCTCTCTTGTGGGTTGCTTTTGTGCATTCCTGCAAGATTTCTCTGTTGAGTTGTTGCAATTGGAATTTCCTTCCGTTAGAAAGAACGAAAGGGCTGGCTGGACTCAGTGCCTTTCAGTTTCTACATTATTCTGCAAAGGCCCTTTGACCCCTAGAAGAAACACAGTTGATCAGGAGACCTTCATAAATTGATCCCAGCCAACATTTTTTGTTGCATCTCACGCACCTTGTCCCAAGAGTTACATATTTTGGATCTGCCTCAGTAGAAGGTAGTCTTTTCACTAATGTAGCCTCTGCTCTTTGGGCATGTGCTAATTCTGTCATCCTGTGCCTGGTTCCCCTTTCCCGTTTTTAATTAAGTCCTGAGTCAGACCTCATGGTGAGTAAGTAATGGGTTAATATTCCAAACTCTATTTTCCAGCACCTGTGAAGGTCCTACAGCGCTCTTCTTTAGCATGTGGAGATGATTGACATATATTGGCATGGGACACCAGCTGAAACTGTCTAAATCCATCTTGGCATCCTATAATATGAACACATATGGCTTTGATCTGTTTTTCTTCTAGGATTGGGTTAGGAATCCTGAGGGATCTGTAGCACTACAGAATTTAATTCTTGTCTGGCAGGTGATGATTAAGTACTTACAGAGGAGAGAAAACAGAAGTAAAATCTCTTTCTCAGAATGATGATAGTGATCATGATGAGAAATTTTACATCAATTATTTTATTGTTAATGGAGCAGTGAGCAATCAGCCCTCAGGAATGGTAAAACTCAGGATTGTTCAGGGATTCCTGACATCTGCATCCTGAACTCTGGTGCCCCAAGTATATGCTCTTAGTTTCTATGTCTCTTCTGATTCTAGAGAGAAAACTCTGGTGTATTCCAAAGCTCAAACACAATCAGCTATACCCAGAGGATTATTTCCCTGGGTCCCTGGCCTACTACTGAGGAATCATAGAACAAATTTGGACAGAACAAGCCACACAGCACATACAGGTCCACTGACATGACTGTAATACTCACACTTTTACCTTATTCACTGTGATCTCATTGGATTGTACTGTCACTCTGCCTACTGCAGTTATCAGGTTTTCTACCAGGCTGGACAAGTGAGAGGTTGTAGGAGCAGCTGGGTCACCTGCCCCAAAACCATCATCATTCTACATGTCCTGGTTATTCTTGGAGTTATAGTTCCTTTCCTTGGTCCATGGATCCCTACCTCAATTGCTGTCTCAAGGCCTTTGTGCATTTGTGTTCTCAGTATATCATGGTTTAAGCAGCAGAATGAGTGGGCTATATCACGGATCAGTTAGTGAGTCAGATGTGATTTGTAGTGGTTCTGTTGAGCATACTTACAACCAATCCTCTTTGCCTTACTCATTTTTGAGTGATAAAATTTTATAAAAAATCAAGTAATTCATACAACCTAAAGTAGAAAATGCTAGCTCTTCTTTACCAAAATGGCAACTGACTTTTATTTATAATTCAAAAGGAGCAAAGACACAAAAGAGGAAAAACATAGCTAATAATATGATTTTTTCCTCATGGATTTGAGTCATTTGAAAGGTTGAGTTACTTGGTGCAATGAAATAAACTATTCTATTTCATTGTTCTGTTTTAGCTCTGAAGTACTCCTTTTTGTGAGCAGTATCTTCCAATTGATGCCTGTGTGAAATACTTATTAGCTCAGGGTTCTGTACACTGAACTTACAAAGCTGTGCATTGTGGGAAGTGATTTTATTTGAGATGCTGTTTTTAATGTAAGCAACCTCTAATGACGTTCTACTTTCATGATGTTTCTCTGAGAATACAATGATATTCTGTGAATTCATAGAATTGTTTCAAATTCTTTCCCCTTACAGATAACTATAGAGTCCTTTCTAAGCAGCAAAAATGTAGGCTGAAGGAAAATCAGAAGAGGCGAATCAATTTTGACAGTGGCAAAAAAAAATGTAGACTGCCAGCCAGGCACTGGTGGCTCACATATGTAATCCTAGCAACTCAGGAGGCTGAGATCTGAAGATCACAGTTTGAAACCAGCTTGGTCAAGAAAGTCTATGAGACTCTCCAATTAACCACCAAAAAGCTGGAAGTGGAGTTGTACCTCAAGTGGTAGAACAGTAGCCTTGAGCAAAAGAGCTCAAGGACAGGACCTAGACCCTGAGTTCAACCCCCAGACAGACAAAAAAATAATAATAAACAGTATAGAGATTGGGTTGTTGCTTTTGAATTCATTCTTTTATCCCCTATTTTATTTCAGGGCCCTGCTACTCAGTGATGCAGATAATATTACCCAATGGAAACCATCTAGGAAGCCTACAATTGAACAGTTTGTTGTCTTCAGGAAACACTAGATTTTGGGTTCCTCTGTGGCCTGAAAGCCCTTTTCTGAACTGTGGGATTTATTCTGCTCTGTGAGCCCAAAGAACATTCACTAACACACCACACATTTCCTTTTAAAAAAACTGTCACTGTTTGAGGCCAGATTCTGTACATTTTGTAAATATGTTTGTTTTCCTCTTTTACAGAAGCTGCAAAGAATCGATACTCCTTACTGTCATTCAGCCTTACCCTGTAAGTGTTCTGTGAGTAAAAGAACCATGGAATCATCTCTGGCTTCTAGCCTCCTGTATCCAATCCATTAAAGCCATGATGATGAGTACCCATAGGAAAAAATAACATTAATTTATATTCATCTTTAAAATACCTTATTTGTGCCATGTACTAGTGGCTCCTCCCTCTAATTCCATCTACTCAAGAAGCTGAGATCTGATGATCACAGTTTGAAGGCAGACTACACAGACAAATTAAAAAGACTCTTATTTCCAATTAACAAAAAAAGCCAGAAGTGGATGTATGGCTGCAAGTTCAAAACCTTATATATCAATTTTAGAAATTAATCTCATTGCTGGGCACTCGTGGTTGGTTCATGTGTATAATCCTAGCTACTCAGGAAGCTGAGATCTGAGGATCATGGTTTGAAGCCAGCTGGGGCAGACAAAATCAAAGCTGTCTTATCTCCAATTATCCAGCAAGAAATCTGGGAGTAGAGGTAGGCTCAAATGGTAGAGTACCAGAAGTCAGCAAAAAAAGCTGAATGATGGTGCAAGGTCCTGAGTTCAAGACCCAGTATCAGAAAATATACACCAATAAAAGAAGGAAGTGGAAAAAAAGAAATTACTCTTATTTATAAACTTTTTCAAGTCATGTTCTAGTGACATCTGAGAGCCACTAGAAGTATTAGGAACATGACATACTTTATTGTGGCCATTTTAGCAGCAGCAAAGTTGGAAGGAGTTACAGGGGTTGATTGGGTATCTACTTATCTTAAAATTACAGCCAAACCTAATTGTTCTAAATGATAATTATTCATCATTACCAGATATAAAATACCTGTGATCATCAGCTATCCTTGCTAAGAGTTAGTTACCAGTTCTTCGAATGATACATATAGTGCTGGCATTTAAACTCAGGGCCTTGTGGTTGTTGAACAAGCACTTTTCGACTTGAGCTAAGTCTCTATCCCTTTTAGTTTCTGATAATTTTCTAAATCATCATTTTAAAATCATTACCTTTAAGTAGTTGCATAAAGGGGTTTCATTTCAACAATTTGGTTGATGAGTACATCTATGTTTCTGTTGTTTTTTAAATGGAGTTTCATATTACATTATATCCTGGAGGGCCTGGATCTAGATCCTGCTATTTATGCTTCCCACATAGTTAGGATGGCATCCTAAGGATATTGTACATGATTGGAATAACAAAGACAAACATGAATTAAAACTATATGACTAAAAACATTATGACTAGAAATGATATCCCATCCACTAGTAACTATATACAGTGGAGTAAGCCATTGCTTTGTTGATTCTCATTAAATAGCCTTCAGATTTTGGAGACTATATTTTTATTATCAAAAGTAATTTTTTCTGGTCCTAGAGCTTGAACTTGGACCATGCACTATGCTGTCCCTGAGCTTCTTTTGCTGACAGCTAGCGCTCTACCACTTAAACCACAGTGCCACTTCCAGCTTTTTTCTGAGTAGTTTATTGGAGAAGAGTCTTACAGACTTTCATGCCTGTCCTGGTTTCAAGCCATGATCCTCAGATCTCAGCCTCTTGAGTAGCTAGGATTACAGGTGTGAGCCACTGGTGCCTGGCCAAAACTAATTTTTAAAATGAATGTTAAATACAGGAAACAATGACTAATTCTAAAGAATAAAAATATACCAGTTAAACTTTTATTGCACGTTTGTTGACTTCAAATTACATCTACAGTAAATTTTACTTAGGAGCTTTACTTATCAACTTTCGTTAGTCATTGTACATTTCCATGTTTCTCAGGAGACCATGCTAAATAAATCTGGTAATGAGGCTACCCAAAGTGGATAGGTTATGGCTTCAGAAAAAAAGAGAGTTCTATCTCTAACATTGAAAGTTCTGATTTATAGGATAATTTACTTTATGGCCTGATTTGTCCATTTTTGCATAACTGGGCCAAAATGCCCGAGGGAGCAACCTATAGAAGGTGAGATTTGTTTGGTATCATGATTTCAGAGATTTCAGTCCACAATCCTTGGTTTTGTTCATTCTGAGCCCATGATGGAGCAGAATATAATGGCAGCTAGAACATATGGGAGAAAAAGATGTTCACCTCATGGTGGACAGGAAACAGAGAGAAAGGGATTGAGGGCTGTGTAAACCCTTCAGATATATATCCTCAGTGACCCACTTTCATTAGCTAAGACTCCCAAAGTTTTCAGCAACTCCCAAATGGCACTTGAGGGACAAGTATTCCACACATAAGCCTATGCTGGAGATTCATATTCAAATCATAATATGGACAAATCACCCTATGTATTTCTATGACTCCTAGAAACATAACTGCATTCTAAGATTATATCAAATGATAGACATCCCGAATGTAAATTATGTTAAGTATACTTTTTAACTAAGCCAAAAAATTGCATAGAACATTCTTGGGGAAAAAAACATGATAAAGTATTAAAAAGCTAGGATGCATAAAGGAGTAAAGGTTTAAAATATTTGCACCTGGAATGCAAGTGGAATATTTCATTCCCAAGCAGTGGTAGAGATGTAGGGGGCTACTGCATTGAAACATTCCATCTAATTAACAGTGTCTATTCTGGGGAGCTTTATTACAACCACTTCCCTTGTGCTAAACTCATTGTGCCAATGTAAATACTGTCTGCTTAAAATCATTAAGGGAGAATAATGTTTTCCCTTCAGCTAAAAAATGGCATATCAAAAGCAAATGAACTTACCACTGTATGATTTGCCCGTTAATCATCACTAAAGTTGGCCTATAATTACACAGATACTGATGAGAATACCACTGTCACACCACTTCAGTGCTGCAATAAGACCTCCAAACTTTGCATTGAGTGTATTGAGCATTTGGGATTTTTTTTTTGTTTTTGAGAAGCAGCCATTCAGAATTATTTTGGATTTTTTTTTTTGGTAAGAGGACAGCCATTCTCTTAAAATGCCTTGTGTAAATGGGTGAATTGAAGCCCTGAAAGGTAAATTACTATCTTCCCTGCCTTCTAGGATGCTGCTTATAGCAAAGGTTGGAATACATGTACAAGGAAATTTCAGAAATAACAGGACAATGAGTCAGACATGGTAGTGCATGCTTATACTCCCGGCACTGGCAAAGTTGAGGCAGGAGGATTGTGAATTTTAGGCCTGCCTAGACATCATAGTGAAATTCTATGTAAAGAGACAGACACACAGAAAGAGGGACAGAGCCAGAGTGAGGCAAGTATAAAGAAATAACAGTATTCTCCAAGCATTAAGGCAAAAACACTACCGAAGAATATTTTATCATGTTTTAGCTGTGCTTTTATAATAATATACACATAATGTCATTTTTTAATTTTCCATTTTAAAGTACACAATTCAGTGACATTAAGTGCATTCACAAGGTTGTACAATTATCATCATTTTTAGTTCCCAAAAGAAAACTATATTAAGCAGTCACACCCCATTCTCTCTTTCTGCTTCTAGAAACTACTAATCTACTTTCTGTCTGACTATCTCACATAAACAGAATCCTACAATAATATGATCTTTGGGGTCATTTTGCTCACTCTGTTTCATGTTTTCAAGGTGCATCAGTGCCTTTATATATTTTTACCTTTTTCTGTTTTGGCTTGAACTCAAGACTTAGCATTCTTGCTTGGATTTCTTGCTCACACCTGGTGTTCTATCACTTGAGCTATATTTCAAGTCTGGAATTTTGCTGATTAATTAGAACTGGAGTCTTGTGAACTTTTCTGCCCCTACTATCTTCAAACCTTAGTCCTCAGAGCTCAACTTCCTGAGTAACTACGATTATAGGCATAAGCCCCGGTGCCCTGCTAGCTTTATTACTTTTTATGGTTGAACAATATTCTATTTTATGGATATACCACATTTTCTTTATCCATTCTATCATACTACTTTTTTAATTTATTGCACGACTGAGAATTGCCTTTTTATTTATTTAACTTCAAATCCAATATGTGAATCACCCTTATTGGCTTTTACACCTTGAGATTAATATAACACACAGAAGGTTAAGCCACTATTTATTTTAGAGTCAATTACTACTATTTATTATGCAATAGCCTCAATGTCTTAGCAATATCACACACACACACACACACACACACACACACACACACACTTTAATATGAACCCTAGGCCATTGTCAGTAATCATATGATATGAACTAAATATCACTATCTTAAGTTTCAACAAATAATGCAGGTCTCTTTAGAGATATGGAAATTATTCTAGCAGTATAGTAAATATTACTAGATGCAAGTTTCCTTTTCCTTAGGCTTTATTATAATTATACAGAGATATTTCTCAAAGTGACTTTCCCAAAGTCATGCAGCAAAGCACACCACTGAATCCCATCACCCTTCTAAGCAGGTTCTGCCATTCACCTCTAATTTCTGAGGAAGAATTCTGCCTGCCACTCAGCCTCTATTTCCACCAGTCATAGCGGAAGGCTCTTAATGTCCAAAGTATCCATAAGATAAGATAAAATATGAAGTCATCTGTCAATTTTAAGTCAAGATCTCTTCTCTGCCCTGCCCAGTAAGATCAACAGTCACGGGTTGTTGATATGAGGCTGACACTCAAATTGAAGATTCATAAAGCCTGAGAGAGAGAGAGACAGAGAGAGAGACAGACGGGGTGGGGGGGCAGGGAGTGGAAAATCAATCATTTCAGAAGTACCAGAAGCTCTTCTCCTCATTAAATAATAATTAATGATCAAATCATTATAATCCTATACTATATCTGATCACCCCCTCACAGCTAATTTAAAAGCGGGGTTTATGTCCTCATCATTTTAAATGATCCCTGGAAATGCACTCAGCAGAAACATGTAACACAGTGTTTGTAGTTCTGGTCTAGTAATTAAATCAGACTTTCTGTTTATGGCCATGGCAAAGTTTCAGTTATATCTGTCCTTGAATTCAGCATGTACCAAATATTCTACCTTGTAGTAAATCTGTTGCCTTTCTTTGAGTAAGAATACTGTTGCAGGGTTTGCATTGTGCTACCAATTGTCAAACATAATGTCTTCTATTCCTTCTAGTCTCCCAAATCAGCATTTATTAGTGCTGCAAAAAAGGCAAGATTAAAGTCCAATCCTGTCAAAGTGCGCTTCTCTGAGGAAGTCATCATCAACGGCCAAGTGTCGGTGAGTTTCCAATCACCTGCCTTGTGATTCAGTCATGGAAACAAAGGATCTGCACTCAAGCAAAGACAGTCATCTTTCTAGAATGTTCAGCCTGGATATGCTTGTTTGTTTTCACCAGGGTATCAAATCTCAGGATTATAAAGGACCAGACTCATCCCAGGTTGTGCCTCAGTCTCCTCTACCACAGCCAGAACACATGATAGCCAGTCTTTCCAAAACCACTTTCTGCATTAGAAACCTCATTGCTTTGCAAAGGAAATTATTTGATCTTGGAACACTGAATGACATTGCCTCATTCAGCTTAAAGAAAATATGCCTCTTTGAAGCTTGTACCATTTTCTTTTCAACTACACATGTTTCTGTATGATAGCCCTTTATATATTTTGAGAAAAAATATTCCTTACCTGAACACTTATAATCTCTGAACTTATCAAAACATCTTCATAGAAAGTGTGGCTGTACTGCACTTAGTTGATCTTCAAAGTGGATAATGCAGACACACAGAGAATATTCCATTTGCAGCTTTTTCCCAGGAAAATGGTAGAATGTCTTAGTTTGGGATAAACTCTCATGCTGGACCTGGAAAATGCCAAATTTTATGGTTGGGGTCTGCTATTGCTCTTGGCATTGTTTAAATAAATTCACAAGGATCGAATCTGTCCTGAATCTAGATTGGAAGCTATAGGCTGGGGCAAAGAACTTAAAGGTCTAATGTCAAGTTACTAACATGCAATTGCTCCATATTCAGGGCAAGGAGTTGATGTATATACTAGTTCTCTCCTTGTGGCAATGAAATACCTAATGTCAACAACTTAAGGGAGAAAGTTTTGTTTTGGCTCATGGTTTCAGATCATCCTTGACTCTTTATACTGGGCTGCTACTGAAGCAGAATACTATGGCCACAAGACTGTGTGTGAGCCTGGTCACTTAAAGATAAAATGCCTTGACACCAGAGCTCTCTCTTTGTTTTTTTATCTTATTCCATCCAGGCCTCTTGCCTTGGGGATAGTACCGCCCACGTTCAGAGTGGTCTTCTTCCCTTTGTTAATCCTTATTACCCTCACAGACAAACCTTTAAGTGGACTTTGGTAATCTCCTAAATTCTTCTCAATCCAATGGAATTGACAAGATTAGCATCTATGCTGGGTACCAGTGGCTCAGGCCTGTTTCTAGCCACTCAAGAGGCTGAGATCTAAGGATCACAGTTTGAAGCCAGCCCAGGCAGCAAAGTCCATGAGATCCTTAACTCCAATTACCCACCAGAAAACCAGAAGTGGCACTGTAGCTCAAAATGCTAGCCTTGAGTGCAAAAGTTCAGGGACAGCACCCAGACCCTAAGTTCAAGCCCCAACAGACAAAAAAATTAATAGCTATTATGTAGTTATCAAACTATTGGGAAAAGGGTCTGACACTGTCACTAGATCATCCTGTGGGCATTTTCTGCTGACCTGTGTATATGCGCTATTCTGCTCACACCAATGGATCCCATTACGTGGGATGTAGGGATACCATATATCACTATTTGATACAAGTATGACTACCATAGTTGAAAGAAGGAAGATTCCAAGGACAAAATAATCAGTATATTACATCACAAAAATTCATCTAAAAATTATCTGGCATCTGTAGAATTCTAGAAGCTTCTATGGCTGTTTCCCTTCTTCTCTGAACATAGGAGGGCTCATTCAAGACCATTGGTATGTGAGGATGCTGCTGATCCAGTGGTCTCACTCAGCTTCCAGTGCCTTTCTGGGGTCTTATCGATGTGGACCCCCCAGTCATATGGATGCAGCACAGCATAGTCCTTGACCTCTGGGACCCTTTGCTTACATCTGTCCTTGCCTTTCTCAGTCACAGTTGTGAGGTGCCATTCCTTCTAAATTTGGATCCTGACTTACTCAGTGAATAAGATAGGAGGAAAGCAAGACCAAGGAAGTAGAAAGAAAGGAAAGACAGTGCAAAACAAACAAAAGAAAGCAATAAACAGTGAAAGGTAGGAAGCACACTAAGGAAATGCATGAGGGTTAAATTCATTCACACTGTTAGACACGGGGAAGCATCTGAGAATCTGGCCTTCAGTTTCTGCCTTGGCAAGCCGAGAGACATATGGTATTGTTTCACAATTGTTGCCTTTCTTGGAACCCCTGTGGCTCTGTAACTAACTGTATGTGCATAGCTCAGTTCACTCCATGGACTCATGGAATTCAAACGTGCCTCCACTCCCTCTCATCTCTCTCCTTCTTCATGATATCACTTAAAGACAACATCCAAATTAGTGTTTTTCTATTGCCCTAACTCATTCCTTATATCTTCCCTTGGTTAGAAGCAGGGCTATTCCTAAATGGGTTAAAAGTAGTTTCACAAAAAGATTTTACATTGAAATCGTTCCTATTTGTGACTCTCCATCATGGCTTCTCCAGCTACCCACAGTGCCATGTCATACAAGCTCACTGCAGTTCCTCATGCTGCTTACTTATGTCATCCTACTTCATAAAAGTCGGGCTTATGGTTCCAAACCCTAACACTTGGTTACAAAGGGATTATGTTTATGCTTTTCAATGGAAAATCTTCAGCTCAAAAAAAGCACATCTAACTTTTCTGGTGAGCCAGTATCTTTTGTTTGAGTCAGGTGTGTTACTTGTAGCTGGAAAAGAATAAAGAATATGGGTAATGAACCGCTTAACTCATACCACTGAAGGGATGTCACTATGAGAATAATCGATAGACATGTGTGACTACTTCCAGTAATAGAATTTTAATTTGACCGATGTATACTACCACCTTCTTTTCTATTGTTAAACAGGAAACCGTTAAGGACAATTCACTTCTTTTTATGCCAAATGTTCTGAAAGTCTACCTGGAAAATGGGCAGACCAAATCCTTCCGCTTTGACTGCAGCACCTCTATAAAGGTAAGATTGCACAGTAACATCTGTGGCTGGCATGACAAAATGCAGAGTTAAAGACAAACAGAGAAGCCAGTATGGCAGCACCTTCTTCTGAACGATCTCTTTATTTGTGCCATTATGTTGGCTGGCTCCATGTATGGTCGTGTATGAATGCTTCAAATCAAATCAAAACCAACAGCTTAAAGTAAGAGGGCTCTGCCCCTTTTTTCCTCCCACAATACAATATGTTACGAGTGAAGAAACACTAGGGCTAGTCATTGTAATGCAACTGCAGAGTAATTAAAATAGCATGCCTGTCACCAAGAAGGGTTGGCACCCTGCCCAAAGCCAGCATGATTTCTCAGCACTGTCAGCCTCCGAGAAGATTAAGATGTTAGTTGTTAATTAAATATCTGCTATGTTGGTGTCCAGCAAAAACAAGGAGTGGAATAATGTGAAGATAACATCTACTTTCAATTGCTGTAGCCACTTTCATGGAACTGATGCATCACAAGTTGTAAAAACTGAGGTATGCTTCTTTGGATGAGTAGGGAAAAAAAAAGAGCCATGAATTAAGTCTATGATTTCAGAGCCACAGGTGAGTTTTTCATAATAGATATTGTAGCAAAGTATATGGGTTTTCCCCCCATGCTTCTTTTCTAGAAAAGAAAAGTGCATATTCTCTTTTTTTCATTGGACAAAAAGTATGCTTAGAAATTGATTGTTCCCTAATGGTTCATCAGCCTAAAATAGGCTTCTTTCAAATAGCACAGTGAAAAAGATTTTATGGAGGTAAAAATGTACCTGGTGATGATTTGTACAATAATCTATCAAGAGAATATCAACTCTGTATTTAAAACCATCTATCAATAGTCAACCCTTAATTCTTGAGGGTTGAAATTAGCTCATGCATGTGCAAGCATTTCTGCAAAATCCCACTCACTCTTTGCTCTTGTTGTCATGATACCCGTAAGCAGCTCATTTTGAATTGCCTTAAATATGTAGTCATTCAGCAGGCAAGAAAGTGGACAATATTTTTAGATTGGTGTTAAAGCATTAAGTCACCCTGAATCACTCCTTGTGATAAATTAACTTCCTTCATGCAAAGCTATTAATTTTAAATAGTGATAACTGACAAAGTCCTTTTCTTTTCTTTTTTCTATTTAGTACAAAATTATGGTGAGATATCCATCTGAGTATTGATCAAATTGACTTAGGGGCTAGAAAGCACTTTCTAGAAAGGACCAGAGAGTAAATATCTCAGTCTTTAGGAGCCATCTGAAGCCTGTTGCAACTGCTAGATTTCTGGTGTTGATTCAGAAAAGTAGTTTTAGACTAGTGTGTTTGGAAAATCCTCAAGACCTCCACAAACTCACCGATTTGTTATCCTCACAGTTACAGTTTATTACATCAAAAGATGGTGGACAGGGGAGGGACTGAGTGGGTGGGGAAAGGGAAGATGGGAAGGGATGGTAAGGGGAAACAAAAGAGGAGGCAACAATGCTTGATAATAAATGTACTCATTACCTTGATCATGTAATTGTAACCCCTCTGTATGGTATTTTCACAATTAAAAAAAGAAAAACACATACACACACAAAGAGATTGAATGACTGGGATAAGTAGTCAGTAGGCTGAAGAGACACTGGAGTTCTTCTAGTGAAGATCTACCAAACAAGAAGGAGGACCTACCAACGAAGAAAGATTGCTAAAGCCTTGGTGATTATTGGGGCTTGGCTACATAGACATATTTAGCCCCTCTAGAGATTGCATGACCCAAGACCCTCCCATAAATCACATTGTTAGTATAGATTGGCCTGGCCCAGAGAAAAGCATTCCTATCATGCAGGCTATTCTTCAGGCTTATAGAAGTGTGAAAGTTTTTTGCTACCTTTGCTACCAAGGGTCATGTGGATATTTGTAACATTATTTGCAGGCCATACAAAATTATTAATATATGCAGATAGGCATGGGCAGCCAATGAGATGCATTCAAGAAGCATATGTTTCTATCACTCTGTCTCATCATGTACTAAATGATTTTGGCCTTATACAGCCCACAGGATATTCCCTATCTGTCACAGACATTCCTGCACAAAATGAGAGCAGAGTCACATCATTCTTTAAGCAAGGTAATACAGAATGTGAATTAATTAACATGGCTAACTTGGACCTATGGCCATAGATACATTCTTGCAATTCTGGCACTGAGACTTTGAGTTCCTTACCATAAACACAACCACAAGCCATCTGAAGCTATAGGGAAGACTTCAATACATTTCTTCACAGAAAGAAAGAAAAATTCAAGAAAGTGCTGTTGTTAATTCCCTCTGGCCTCTTTATTATGAGAACCCACACTAGACTGAGCCTGATTTCCCCAAGGATTGCAGGTGACAATGAAAAGACAAGGAGCAATTCAAAGAGTTCACATCAAATTTCAGTCTCCTTATCTTGTTCCTAACTACCTTATTAGCACAATAGATACTGGCTGGTAGGCGCAAAATCGAAATAGTACAGTTATGAAAAGTATATGACACTGTTTAATAAAATTTGCCAAAACTCTTGCTGTAGAGTTACAGTGGGGAAAACCATTCCTTATGTGTTTTCCAATGTCCTCCCTAGGGTTTGGGGAGAATATTTATACAATCTCCACACAAAGACTGGTTTTGTTTTCTCTTTCCTTAGCCTTGTATAAAAATAATAGAGTAGAGAAACTTTTGTGAAAATGCATTTTTATTGAGTGATTTATTTTTCTTGTGGAAGTTGGGTGGGTAACTTATATGGATTTTGTTTTAATGGGGAACACAGGGAAGATTCAAATAGCAAAAGAACCCATCAAAGGAAGTTTTACCCACAAAATTTTTCCACCTTGGTACTATTGGGATTCTAGACCAGATAATCCTTTGCTTGGGTTTGTCCTGCATACTGTGATACTTAGCCTTCCCAACCTCACTGTAGCAACCAAAAATATGTCCAGAAATTCTCAGATATTCCATGGTGCAACTCCTCTGAGAACTCCCAACTCTGCAGGATTTTTAACATCTGGATATAAATGATTTCGAAGGGGGATCATTTATTACTTCTTGAGTATATGGAAAGCAGTGATAGAGGAGATTTGTTTCACATTGCAATAAATGTATTTGTGTATGGAATACCTTCCTGATTATGAACATTTAATCCTATAAAAGATTACTGACAAAGCTTGCTCATTCCACTTTCCCTGGAGATATAAAATAAATGTATATTATTATGCCCCCTACCTCTGTGAGAAATAGTGTTGGAATAAATGTTTTCTATATATGAACACGTTTAATTGTTATATCCATTTCACAGCAGGCATTAATATCCCTCCCCGTTTACAGATAGGGAACAAAAGACACTTCACGATTAAGTAACTTGCCCAGACTGTCCAGCCAATAAGCAGGAAGGCTGGGATTCAAAACGAAGTGTCTCTGGAGCTTTGCTACCATGATGCTATTCTTTCAAAAGGGTGGGCCGGGGGGGGGGGGCAATCAGGTGTTTCTGGGAAGGACCAGATAGAGAATATATCAAGCTTCACACGCCAGTATTCAATTCTTTCATGACCTGTTCCCCAATAAAGCTTTATTTACAAAACAAGTAGTGAATTACATTTGGCCCACAATCCATGTTAGGCCAGCCTATCAGAAGAGTACTTTCAGAGCTGATTTACCCATCACATCAGTTAGAAAAACAGGATATCAGGGCTGACTACCCCACTATTGACAACCTATTGAATGTAAGACTGTCTATAATGTCTATAATAGGTAAGCTACTCAACAAACTGTTTCTCTTGTTACCTCATAGAAAAGTTTGGGATGCCAGGGAAAGGGCAAGGAGAGGAAGGCCTCATTTCTGCATTTTTTGGCTCTTTGTAGCATGAAGCTTCAGAATTGAGCAAAAGTGTGCAATTTCAGGATATAAAGCTTAAATATCATACACTTCCCCATTATGGTAGACTTTCACACAAAGGATGCCTCCATTTTTATCTCATTATGCCAATGTTCCTTCTGTAAGGATGTCATCTTAACCCTGCAAGAGAAGCTCTCCATCAAGGGCATTGAACACTTCTCCCTCATGCTGGAACAGAGGACAGAGGGAGCTGGAACCAAGCTGCTCTTGCTTCATGAACAGGAGACGCTAACTCAGGTCTGTGTGATGACCCCCAGTGGTAATGCTGCTGGTGAGAACAGAGAACCTGCCATCCCAGAATGTTCCTCTCTCTAGACCTTTCAATGTGGCTGCTACCATGTCCCCCCTACCCAGATACCATGCTGAATTTGCTACTGGCTTTAAAGTACACTGGACACTTTAATGAGATGGCCTCTTTTCTGTTGGTCTTTCATAGAACATTAGTTGGTTTCCCAAACAAATTGGTCATTCAGAGACTCAGCAGCTACTCATTGGGAATTTAACACTATAGATCTATATTTAATGTTATTGTAGTAACTGCCTCACCTGCATTGATCTCTTCTCTCATAAAATCATTTCAAAACAGTAGTTTCTGAAACTTTGAACCTTAAACCAAAATAATTTTAGTGGTTTGAAATTCTGGATGCAAACTTAAAGACTATTTCGGGAAGCCCAAAATCTCTACCCCAGTCCTGCCCGCTATAAATATGTGATTTACCAATGTGTCCCAGTTCCTGATTACCAAGATGCTACCTCCATCTGTTCTTTGAGAAGACAAGCAGCCTGCTTGCTGCAGCATTCAGTGTAGCACCCTTATTTTTCTTGGAGTTCCACATGAACAGAGTCTGTGTCAAATGTCTAAGAGATTTCAATAAACCCTCTTCTACCAAGAGTTCACTAAGGATGAGAACACTCTAGAGAGAGACCATGAAGAGACATCAGGGGCTGATGTATCAAGATACCACCAGATGGGTGAAGGGGCAGAAAGTATTTTCATAGGGAAGGGCTTCTTGGTTGGTACATAATTAAAAGTTTTCCTCTCACACATAGTTATTTGGTCTCACATATAGCCCTGATTCTTTCCTTTCTGTCCTACCCAATGTAATAAATTAGGAAGTTGCCACTTGCGTTCATTTCTCTTCTTGCCTCTGAACTTCAAATACTATTACTAGGGAGTTTAAATGTACAAAGACATATTTTAAATCACATGTAGTGGTTTATTATTTGAACTTAGGCCAAAGCACACTTGCAAATGGATGGCTAATTTTATGTTTTACTACGGGGAAAAACCCTGATCTGCACAATGCTTCATGAGGAAGCTCAGTGTTTGCATTTCCTGGAAGTAAACTTCTGCTTTCCCTGGAAGCAGAACTTCAGCCAAAGATTTTTTTTTCATATATGGGGTTTATTTGAGAGGAGGTCTCAGGAAATTCTGGAAGAGGAATGGGGAAAAAGAGAAGGGGGAAAACTAGGAAGCCAATAAAGAATGTCATCAAGCCAATGTCAACTGTGAGTAACTAGAGTTCAGTGCTATTGGGGAACTTTGAATGACAGTGTAGAATATGTGGCAAAGACACCTCAGGGTGGGGTAGCGAGAAAATGTCCACCACCATATAGTCTGCTATTGGCAATGGGCTTCACTTGAAGGGCCTTATTCTGTGGCCTCATTCAGGTTTGTCTTAGGCTTTCTGATGTTCACAGCTACTTGCGGTAAATAGCATTCATCCAGTGGAAGTAAGGGCCTAAGCATTGTGGGGAGTTTGCCAAATACTATGAGTTTAATGAAAGTTCCTCCAACCTTATTTCTTCCTTTCTATTTTATCTCTCAACTTCTATCTACTATATAGGATTTACAGGAAATGCATGCAGATTTAGTTAAACAAAGCTCTTTAAAAAGTGTCCTCTGGTGCTAGAAAATGAAATCTTAAGAAAATTGACTCAAATATCCTGAAACAAACAAGTTAGGTACCTTGGAAATCAATGCAGTACAATTGTTACACTTTCTGAGCAGGATAAAATCGATGTATTTGTGAATGTCTCTATGAAGCTTGATGATCCCATAGTGGATTTTCATGTCTCTTTTCTTGACCTGCTAACCTATGTCCCGTTTTGTCATCTCATGGAAGCATTTCCTTAATAAGTCCCTCGCATGTAAGTCCTTATATCAACATCTGCTTCCAGGATATCCAACCTGAGTCACAAAGTGATGGTCAGTCTTCAAGAAATGAGTATCTTTCACTGCTTTTTTCTTTCCTTGGTATCAAAAGTAAGTGGAGTGTGTCTCTGTGACGTCTAGCCAGCACTAAAGTTTCTTTGTTTGATGGGTCTGCTCTTCCAGGTGACACAGAGGCCTAGCTCCCATAAGATGAGGTGTCTTTTCCGAATAAGCTTTGTCCCAAAAGATCCAATTGACCTGCTTAGGAGAGATCCAGTTGCTTTTGAATATCTCTATGTTCAGGTAGGTGAACAATTTGGCATGTGTTATATGAATGTGATGGGATGCATTGATTTTTCTCCCAAAATGCTCTAGTTAGGGGTTGTCTTTCTTTCTACCCCATCCTAGGCTCAATGAATCATACAAGGAATATATAGTGCTTTTTTTTTCTTTGTCAACTCTGTGTTGGGTGTTGTCCCTCAGCTCTTCAGCTCAAGGCTAGCATTCTATCACTTGAGCCACAGCACTGCTTCCCACTTTGTCTGCTTATGTGGTGCTGAGTAATCAAACCCAGAGCCTCATGCATGCAAGGCAAGCGCTCTACCACTGAGCCACCTTCCCAGCCCCCTATATACTGCTCTTTTCACTTTTGCATTTGATTTTGAAATAATATTATACTTCCAAAAATGTTGCAAGTTATCATCTATACCTTTTACTCAGAATAACATAATACTACATTTATATTATCTTTATTGTATGTGTACTTGTGTGTTTTTTCCAAATCATGTGAAAGTTTCCATGTGTAGTACTCACAAACACACCATGTATTTTTAATAAGGATATTTTATATAAAACTATTTTATAATTAAGTCAAGAAATTTAACATTAATTTATTGCCTTATCTCATGTGTAGTCCAGATATTTCCATTTTACATTTGTTGTCCTGTCTCCTTAAATCTGGAACATTCCTTAGCCTTTCTTTGACTTTCATGCCCTTGAGAGTTTTGAGGAGTATTGATTAGATATTCCATACAAGACTCTCCTTTGGTTTTCTCTGATGTTTTCTCATAAGCACATTAAGGTTATATGCCTTCAAAAAATGATGAGTGTCTTTGTGTCTTCCTTACTGCATCCTATCGGGAGGTACATGATGATAGCTTATCCCCTTAATGACAACATTGACCCTTACTTGGGAACCATCTCCCAAACCTGTTCTTCTTAAAATTATTATTTCCCCTTTGTAATAAATAAATCATCTATGGAGAGTCATTTGAAACTCTTTTATTATCCTATGCTTCATCAAACTTTTACCACTAACTTTACCATTAATTGAATATTCTTACTTAAATCCATTACTATCTTGATTGTTAAAAATGGCATGACTGATTCCATTATTTCTTTTTCATTTATTAACTGGCATTATACTATAAAGAGTTTTCCCTTCTTCTTTATTCTTTCATTTATTTGGTGCTTAGATTGTTCTGAAATATTATAATATTCATTTTACTGGAATTAAAACTTTTCAGATGGTAATACTTTAAGAGAACAGTATCCTTTATAGACTTTCTGGTATTTAATTCCCTGTGCCCCGAAATTAAAACTTGCCAGAATGGCTGTCTGACAGTTTGTCCCAAAGGAAATTTATCCAACTTAATATTTAGGAAATATTACTATGTTTTCCTATAACTACAGCTTGGATTTCCAATACAATTCCATTAAGCAATCAGAACCCACTTATGTAATGCTGAGGCATCTAGCAACACAACTACTCAAAGCGGTTGTAAAACTAAATGCTACTTTTCTACTCTCAGAAAAAAGGAGAGAAAATGTGGGGAAAAGACAAAAGACATATTGTCTCTTTGACTGGGAATGCCTTTATAAGGTAAAGATCACTGGAGTCATATATATATATATATATATATATATATATGTGTGTGTGTATATATATATATATATATATCATCAGAAGGAAAAAGAAAAGAAAAACAACAAATGCTAGGTCAGTCCACATAGTTGATACACAGGTATTTGTTACATTTCAAAGATTTTTAACGTTGGACAAGACAAGAAGACAGAAGATATAAAAGACACATAGACAAGACAGATGTTGGAAGTTAGGGATACTGACATAAATTGAAGTGGCAATAAACCCTGGAGATTAGGAATTAAGTCAAAGAAAAAAGAAGCAGAACATATTAGAACCTTCTAGCAGATATAGACCCTCAGGGAAAGGACCCATTAAACTTTCCCCACCTCCGTGATCTTTAGAAGAGACTGGTGTTTACAGTTCAATAGGTTGATACGTGTTCATGCAAACAACTCTGAGTCATCAGGATAAGCCAAAACCTGTTTATCAAGGAATTTAAAATATATAAGATTTTTTTTATCCCAACAGTGAAACTGTCACATTTTCTAAATGTTAAAACTTTGGCTAGCTCTACCTTTCACTTGTCAACAACGTCGCTTGTCCCAACAAACCAGGGAACACAGCTAGCTTAGACAACATGAAACCAAGAACCAATTCTTCTGTGATCTGTTACTATATGTTACCTATATTCCTGTGGAAAACTAACCCAGGGTGCAACCACTGCACCTAAGACCATGTGCTACATGTATTAGCTTACTAGTTACAAATTGTTAAAGATGAAATCACTATGTAGTGGTAGACAGGAAAATACATTGGTTTGTTTTGCTTGATTATATACCCACACCGATAGCTGGCTGGCACTTTAAAACTATTTGACTCTCTGATTAATCATCACAACTCCACTTCATTTATGAAAGGTAGATTATCTACCCATTCAAGGCACAAGTAGCCAGAGGGGAAGATGTATAACCACATAGAGAAAGCAATAAAGACAAAAACAGAGTTACTACCATCTTATATATCCTCTGCTGAGAATAAGAAATGAAATCTTTTTTTGCCTCAGACTCTGCTTTGGAATGCCCATATCACAGAATGTGTGCTGAGTCTAAAATAACATAGCTGTCTAATAAAAGTCAACAGGTCTACAAATGGTGCCCATAGGCCTAAGTTGATTTAAAAAGATGTGATGATATTCGCCTAGAAAACAAACTAATAAGAAGAAGCAATGTAGATCATGTTACAAAAACAAAATCAATGTAACTTAGCAGGCTCCTGATGAGGGTAGTCTCCATTGAGTAGATGAAGTATGCCAATAGAAACACAAATTTCAATAGTGATAATATATATTAATCTCCCCGTCATTTAATGAACCATGAGGTCTTTTCACATTTTAGCATATATATTAACAGTAAACTCTAATAACCCAGATTGCCTTAATTCATAATTATAATGGACTATGCTGACATTTTCCTGTCTGCTGTCTATTCAGGAAAAGATTGCTACACCAATGAGTAAACAGGATATGACCTAAGATGCTCCAAAATGTTTGTAAACACTTCAAACCCTTCTACACTTGTAACAGGTTCATTACAAATGAACTTTTGGTAGGTATAAAGTGGAGCCTGTTAGTAATTCTATTTAAGGAAACAATAGCCATCATTATCAAAGTACATGTATATTCAGTGGTATATTTGAGAACAACAAAAGCATAATTAATACCAAAAAAATACACACATAATTCTGATTCTATACTAATTATCTAGGGCCAGTCCAAACTAATTACATAATTAAGTGACTAATTGTCTTGTAAAAAAAATGCACAGAACTCTGGTAAACAAGGAGGGGAAAAATGGTTCAAGCCACAACTCTTAGGAGAAATGTTCATGATAACTTGTATTTGTAAAACACGTTCCCATTTCTTACCCAGCCTTCCAGTAATGTGGTAACCTTGCAAGGTAGTTTTTGCCTCTCCAGTTAGTTTTTTTGAAGGTTCATTCAGTTTTCAGAAAACAGAGTTGAAGCTCAAGAGAGGTGAAATCCCATTACTTACTTAGGTCATTTGGCTGAATCTAAAATCAAACGTGTCAATTGCCAGTAAATTCCATACCAACAAACAAACAAACCTCTATTTCAAATTGATTATGCAACAGCAATCACTGAAGAGAGTAGTTTCTCAAAATGGTTTCTCAAAAAGAAAATTCTATGTCTAGCACTGTGCCCAGTGACGTTGTGACCACCAACCCTTTGTGGAATGATTAAGATGAACTACTGGACTGTTAAGTCCTTAAAGCCCAGACAGACAAGTCTTAGCACTTGGAAATCATGGGCAAACCCATGTCTAGCAAAACAGAATGGCATCCTGAAATCACTTTCAGAGGCTGTCCTAACTCAGACCTCTCTAGCTCCTGCTTAGTCACAGATGCACTTCCTGGAAGGACTGCTATGCATCCTGGGTCGTTTTGAGATTTTTATAAGGCAACAAAGGTGAACAACCTCATAGGGTTGTATTGGGAAAGAATGGGGCTTCCCTCTTAGCAGTTGGAGCAATGAGCCAAGAAGACACACGCATCTGTCCCATGGGGCTCTACAGCAGACATTGCCCATGGTGGGCACAGCATGTGTTAAATATGCAAATGTCACTGCTGTATGCAGATGCCACACAGCAGTACATGACTCCACGTTTATAAAATCCAAAATGTGAAGTGATTACAAATGGGCTGCTCTTGGAAGAAAGACAGACCAAACATGATACCAGTTTCTGTTTGAAAATGTTGAGAGAGAAAGTGGAGGGTGGGGTGGGGAGGGAGGTTGTTAGAAAAAGGCTAAATATGCTAGAGGTAAGAATCCACTTTCCATCTGAGGCATCAAATATGTAGAATCTGCTTTAGCTTTGCCACATTGTCAAGCAATACTGAGCCCCCAGCTCTCTTCCTAAAGAGGGAGGGGTAACAGGATCACTCTAAAACCAATCCCATGTGGTTCTATAAGATCTTAACATTTAGAGTATCTTCTCAGTCACTGTTTGTTTGTCCTACTGTGTTGGCCAAGCTGTTCTCAAACCTACAAGCTCAAGTTCAGCCTGGCAAGTGCCTAGGACTACAGGATCACCCCCACTTTGCCCGGGGTTCAGGCACTCTTCAATTGAATCCTTAGATGTCTCCCTTGTATAGAAGAGGACCAAACTAATGCTGAGAGCTGTGGAGTGATTCCCATGGTGTTATAGATTTGAAGTAGCAGCCAGTGACCACTAAAATGAATGGGGAATTTTAATAGCTGTCCTTTATAGAATCTATCAATACCCTGAAGAAAGCATTTATACATCTCATCTAATTCTCGAGCTGCTCAATTTTCTAATGAATCCCCATTGCATCGATGAGTAAACTCAGACCAAGAGTCCAAGTAAATGGTGGTATTTTCCAATTCCAAGGACTCCACACTGCTAATTCCTTTAGTCCTCAGAATACCCTGTGGCTACAGAGTACTGTCACCCTAGCACTATCATCCTAAAACTATCACTGTCCCAGAAGGGGAAACTGAGGTACCATCAAATAAGGAATTTATGCAAGATAGAGTCCCCTATGCAAACGAGAAGCGAGTTTGGAAGCTGGGATTCCAAATCCAGCCGCATAACTGTAAAAGCCACATTCTGCTATCAAATGCTTCATGTGTTCAACTGCAGCACCTGTGTTTGAAATTTCCATCCCTAAATTCCTAATTATTTTTACGAAAAGCTAAATATTTAAATAACAGCTTGCTGATGAATGTGAAATGTTTTGTGTGGTCTCTGTGTTTGTGCATGCAATTAAATACTGACTCGGTTCCAAGCAGCATGGTGGAGATGTTTCCACATTTAGCCTCAGTGCCTTTGAAGTGAAGGTTGAAATGCTGGGGACTCTTGTCACCTGTTCCTCTAAAGCAATGCATTTGCAGGCCCATTCTCTGATGAGCTGCGCCCTCTGCTGCTCTCTTTGCAGAGTTGTAATGATGTGGTTCAGGAGAGATTTGGGCCGGAGCTGAAATATGACATTGCCTTACGACTGGCTGCGTTACAAATGTACATTGCCACCGTTACCACCAAGCAGACACAGAAAATCTCTCTGAAATACATCGAGTAAGTATGCGTTCAGAGCCATCTTAGAGACAGAGATGCTTTGGGTTTTTTTACTTTTGTTTCAGCTGCCAAAATTCATCTTAATTGTGGCAGGGTTTGTAAACCAGAGGCTAAAAACAGTATGCATATAATGTTCCTTTGTAGTGGAAGAGATGCATTTCTCATCTAAATCCACCTTTAGAAAACTCAAGTCGAAAGGAGAGTCATACTTAAAATTAAGTGTACACTCTTTCCATTCCTAGCAGAACTTTGGTCCAAGCCAAGTTTCAGGCTCTGAACTTGTCATACATTAACCTGTTTAATTCCCACAACATCTCAATGAGATCAATAGGACTTTAGCTTCATTTTATACATGGTCAAACTCCAACTGAAGCACAAAATCATTAAGTAACTTGCCCAAGTCCCATGGCTGTTTTCCACTTTTTGCAAGAGGCTGGATTCCATCTCAGGTGGTGGCTGTCGTGTGGGTAAGGGGTTGAAGCACTTGTGTTTGGGAAGTGTCTGCATAGCCTGAGATCGCTTTTCCATGGTCAAACCTTTTATACCCAGGCACCGGTGGGTCTCACCTCTAATCCTAGCTACTCAAGAAGCTAAGATCTGAGGATCATGGTTCCAAGTCAGCTCAGACAGTCAAATGTAAGAGACTTTCACCTACAATTAGCTAGAGAAAAAGCCAGAAGTAGAAGTGTGGTTCAAATAGTAGATCATCAGCCTTGGGCAAAACAAAAAAGCCAAGTGATATTCTATTGTATATAGGTACCACAGTTTATGGATCCATTCATCTGTAGTGGGGCATTGAATTGTTTCCATATCTTGTCTATTGTGAACAATGCAGCAAAATAATGGCATTCACAGGGAAATGGATAGAACTAGAACAAATCATATTGAGCAAAATAAACCAAGATCAGAGACAAATGGCACATGGTCTCCCTGATACGTGAATGTTAAATTCAAAATGCAATGAGATATGACAAAGTAAACAGGACTCAAGAAACAGAGAACCTCTTCTTAGTTTGTCATATCATTTTTAGATGACTCTATGTTCTTGACCCCACATATGGTAGATACATGCATACAGCTGAGGGAAGCTAGGAGGAAGGCACAGAATGAGAGGGAAATGTGATAAAAATACAACAGAGGGGCCCATCAGCTGCACTGGACATTGATGAAAGTGAACTAAGCAATTCAAGGACAGTGATGGGAGGGAGGGAAGGAGAGGGAAAGAGGAAACAGCTGACACTAAGCAAAAGGTAAGAAATGTCACCCAATGTGGAAGAAATAGCTGTATTGTCAAAGTTTGTAGACCATGATAACGACAATTGGCCTTGTAAAGGTTAAAATGTGTTTGTGACTTTAGCAAAGTATCACTATCCCATAATACTGTGGGGTATGTAATCATTCACTCTCAATAAATTTTTTTAAAAGCCAAGTGAAAGCATGAGGCCCTGAGTTCAAACCCCAGCACTGGTGCAATTTATATTAAGGAAAAAAATAGCATTGTCACCAGCAGGGAGCATAATGTCTGTACTAAAGAACTGTGAGGTAGTTGGACAGAGTGTACACAACACACTTGTCTCTGAAGCAGATCTTGTTTAGACACTGTGAATACCTTCTCTTGATGAGAATACTATTTACACTGCTGAATTACTACTTGTCTGGGAAAGATCCCCTTCTAGAAAAAGAGAGAGAGAGAAAGAAAGTTTGTGCAGCCTTCAGTCAGGAGTCTATTTAAAAGCCACCCTTTCCAAGAGACTTCTCTCTTATTTCTTGGCTGGCAATTCAGTAGCATAAGACAACCATCGCTCACTTCATCTCAGCAGCTCTCTACGTTGAGATAAAGGGACACATCTTTCAGAGTTCATGGCCAGGCCAAATGCTAAATCTCCACATAATGCTAAAAGCCCTGGATCCTACCCATCCCATTCCAGGAGATGTACAAACTAATTACAGTCCCACCTTCCCATCAGCTGTCGGTGAAGTAGCATGGTGCCAAGTTACCGCAACTGGAGGCAAAATGATTCTCCTCAGCAGGTTCATAATCTGTGTCAGGGAGAATTGGCCTTTGCCTGACTTCTATGCACTGTCTCCTGGCAACTCTCGATTTATCTGTTGATGCCTAGAGATAAATGCTTGAGCATACAACCAATCAAGATAGAATTCACAATATAGAATTTGTTGAGCAAACTTTTTGTAGTCATTGACAAAAATATCTTAATGATAGCCATTTGTTATTTTTTAAATATCCATTGTGTATGGTAGTGCAACTTCCTACCAATAGAAGCGTACTTGAGGGACATGAATCCCACATCATATATGTATACATGCACACACACACACACACACACACACACACACACACACACACACCAAGAAATGTTAGTGGATGGAACAGACATCAATTGGCTGGGACAAAAGAGAACTATGTGTTTTCATAAAATAGTCATTGTTAAGGGGAAGGACTTAGATATGTCAATGGCTTTAAGAGATTCATAAGCCTCATTAGCATTCTTTCTACAAAGTAAGAAATATGTTTGTTTGTGTTTGTGTGTGCATGTGTGTGTGTGTGTGTGTGTGTGTGTGTGTGTGTGTGTGTGTGTTGTTCTGAGGTCTTGAACTCAGAGCCTGGGTGATGTCTCTGAGCTTTATTTTGCTCAAGGCTAACACACTACCACTTGAGCCACAGATCTACTTCTGGCTTTTTTGTGGGGAGTAGTTTATGGTAGAAGAGTCTCATTGAACTTCCTACCCAGGCTTGCTTCAAACAGCCATCCTTAGATCTAGGCTTCTTGAGTAGCTAAAATGTTTCTTTTAAATGAAAGAAAGGTCAACTACAATGTTAGGAAACATGAACTGAAACAATGAACTGAAAGTTACTTCACTTCTTTACCAAAAATCCATTTGTTCCAACAAACACCTGAGTGCCATTTTATCTTATGTAACTAATCACCAAAAAGATTTGTAATTTTTTTTGTTGGTCATGGGGCCTGAACTCTGGGCCTGGGCATTGTCTCTCAGCTCTTCAGCTCAAGAAGAGCGCTCTACCACTGGAGCCATAGAGCCACTTCTGGCTTTTTCTGCTTATGTGGTGCTGAGGAATTGAACCCAGGGCCTCATGCATGCACGACAAGCACTGTACCACTGAGCCACCTTCCCAGCCCAGATTTGGAATTTAAAGACATGCTTTTGATTCCAGGAAAGAATGGGGATTAGAGACTTTCCTTCCTTCTGCTGTGTTGCAAAGCATGAAAGAGAAGAATATCAAGAAAGCACTTTCCCACCTCGTCAAAGCAAATCAAAACTTGGTACCACCGGGTAAAAAGGTATCACATTTGCATCTGAATAGAAAAGAAATTTTAAGAAGAGAGGTTTGCATGCATTTTAAATGTTTAAAATTAGTCCATGAATAATATACTTAGCACTTTATTTTCAGAAGGCAATAACATTGTATACGTTTTTTAAATGATTAACATATTTCTAAGGCTGATGAAAACAAAGTATTTTACTAAAAGTGGAATTTTGTTTTATTTTATTTTGTTTATTTATTTCTGGTGCTAGTACTGGGTCTTGAACTCAGGGCCTGGGCATTGTCCTATAGTTTTTTTCACTAAAGGCTGGCACTCTACCACCTAAGCCACAGCTCTACTTACAACATTTTGCTTGTCAACTGGAGGCAAGAGACTCATAGATTTTATTGCCTGGGCTGGCGTCATGATCCTCTGATCTCAGCCTCCTGAGTAGCTAGGATTACAGGTATTCTTATTTGTTTCTCTGAAGTTATTGACTCCTTATTTGTTCAACTGGAGATGTGTGTGTGTTCACACCTATAAGAAAAGCTTTCATGGCCTCTGAGGCCTGGTGATAAGAAGGTAGAGGGGGCTGGGAAGTTGGCTCAGTGGTAGAGCACTTGCCTTGCATGCATGAGGCCCTGGGTTCGATTCCTTAGCACCACATAAGCAAAAAGAAAAAAGCCGGAAGTGGCTCTATGGCTCAAGTGGTAGAGCGCTAGCCTTGAGCTGAAGAGCTGAGGGACAGCGCCCAGGCCCAGAGTCAGGCCCCACAACCAGATCCCCCCACAAAAGAATGGTACAATTGCAAGACAATTCTACATTTTCATCACGTCCCTGCTTACCACTAGCACCAGCTTAAATACGCAGCAGCCAGTGAGGGGTTAGACAGGCCTTGGGCTATAGTAATTAAAGTTATACTATAAGGTTATATTGTTTATATAGTAATCATACTTATACTATAGTTAATTGAACTGTAGTAATTAAATTTCATATTGTGGTATTATTGACATTTGGTAATAGATCATTCCTTTTTAAGGGGGGTGTGGAGAGTTCTCCTGGACGTTGTAGGATATTGTAGTAGCATTTCCATCTCTATCAGCAAGATACCAGAATCACCAACATTCAAATTGTAGCCAATGAAACTGCCTCCTGACATAGTGAAACATGCCTTAGGGAACAAACTCACCCTCAGTGAGAATCAGTGACTTAGATCCCATTTCAGAAGGAAGTTACAATTATTTCTGCTAGTCATCATTAGTGTAAAAAATCTTTCTGTTTGTCTTTGTTTTCATAAAGTAGGAGAGACACAAAGGAGATGGAAAATGTAGTCTTGGTTAGAAAAGAAGGTATAATTTATAGGTAGTTTTCTTTTTTTATATATGTTTTTATTGTAAAAATAGTGTACAAGGGGTGACAGTTACATGAGTAAGGTAATGAGTACATTTCCTATCAAGCATAGTTACCTCCTCTTTTGTTTTTCCCCTACCATTTTCCCCCTCTCACCTCCCCAAATCCTCCCCCCCACCCCTGAAGTTGTAAAATTTGTTTTTAACATAGTGTCTTGTACATCTCGTTGTTACAGTGGGTCCTGTATCCTTATTTAAGTATTTTGTTATGTCCCTTCCCCTCCCCAAATTATAAAAATGTATATACAAGATGCAGGGCACCAGAATCAAATACAGTGAAAACAGAGGCTATACCATGGGGGAAAATCATACAAAAGAAACAAAAAAATCACATAGTACATTATAAATACATTTTTAAAAAACGATAGCAAGGAAGAAAAAACCAGATGTATCCCTATCTTGGGGTTCATTTCACTTAACATCATCTTATCTGGTCATATGTACATAGCTTTTGCCTCTTCTGTTTGTCTCAGACATATACTATTTATTGCAAATAAGGGAAACGTTGGGACCTATGTTTCTTTGGGCCTGGCTTACTTCACTTCATATAATTTTAAAAGCCAAGGACTGAAGTAAGCAACCTAACAACCCAAGAACATTTTCCAACTGATACAGAGATTGTATGACTTTAACACAGTTCACTATAATTAATACAATTATCCACATGGATAATTCTTTGTCTTAGTACTTGATTTTCAGTCATTTTACTGGTTAAGGCACACTTAATTTCTATTCCTTCTTCACCCCATAATGTTTTTTTTTCTTTAACATTTAATCAGGGTCAAGACACACTCAGCCACATTCAACTTCCTAGTTTTACTGGAGAAAGCCTCCTACTACTGAGAGCAGTGAATTTAAGGGAAGTAGCAGGATACAGTAGGTCAAGAGTTTTTATTTAAAAAATTATAGCTATGATTATTTCATTACCAATTTCTTAAATGAACCTGTGATTGTTTTTGTCCAGTCTGTAATAGTTTATCAACTAGTATTAGTTCTATCTATATACTTGTCAATTACTATCTTAAAAAGGTTAGTTTTCCTAGTCAAGAATGAGTGGTTTGCTTTCAAAAGAGTTTGCAAATTTTCTAGATGTCTTTCAGAGAAGATGGATAAACAGTAAAATAAAATACATAAAAGGCAAGGCTAGAAGGACAGCTATGGGGCTCAAGTGGTAGAGTGCTAACCTTGAGAGAAAAAAGTTAAGCAAGAGAGAGGGTAGGCCCTGAGTTCAAGCCCCAGTAATAACACTCATGCTTTAACTAGAGTTAACAAATGAAATTTCCATGTCTCATGAAGTTAAATCAAAATTACATTCATTGCTACTTAATGGCCATCTAGACCTTGTTGGAAATGTACACCCTTATTCAACATTCCTGGCAAAATCTAAATAAACCATGGATATATTTTTATTTATTAATTTACTGTCAGTCATGGGGCTCAAGGATAGAATGCTACCACTTTGAACCACAGCTCCACTTCTGATTTTTGAGTGGATAATCAGAGATAAATATCTCACAGAGACTTTTCTTTCCTAGTCTGGCTTCAAACCTCAATCCTCCGATCTCAACCTCCTGAGTAGCTAGGATTACAGGTGTGAGCCACTGGCACCTGGCCATGTATATAGTTTTAATCAACACTTTTTTAGTGATGTAGGAGCCTACATCTTAAGTCTTTATGAAGATAAATATTACCTGAATAAAATTTGATTTATAAAACTGGGCACTGGTAGCTCAAACTTGTAACCCTAGTTACTCAGGAAGCTGAGATATAAGCATCATGGTTCAAAGCTAGGCCAAGCAGGTAGTAGGCCCCTGAGACTCTTCTCTCAAATTAACCAGCAAAAAGCTGGAAACAGAGCTGTGGTTCAAGTGGCAGAACACTAGCCTTGAGGAAAAAGCTCAGGAATAGCACTCAGACCCTGATTCATGCCTCAGGACCAGCACAAAAATTTCATTTCATTCATTCATGAAAGTCAACAGATTCTCAGCGGTGAATTTACAAACAAAGATTTAAATAGCAAGTTCATCCATTTCCATAGTGTTTAGAGTTCAGAGAGTTCATTTTCCCTGAAAACTTTCAAAGATCAGAAGAAGGAACTTTGAGAGGGGAAGATGCAAGAGCCTGTTTAAAAAGGCTTTCTGTATATTTCAAGTGTACGTTCAAAACAACTCTCACAAACTCTGTATATAGATGAGTAGATGTGTCTCCTGTGCAATGAGAACATCGGTTTGCAAACCTACCTCTGTCCATAATTGCAAATGGAAATAGCACTCACTTCTAGAAACTTCCTACTAAGTCCCATGGAACAGCTGAGGAGCTTGTTCTCATTTATTGAGTGGCATGGATCACATAGACATGAATTCCACACACACACCTCCTCCAACATGAGTAAGATTCAAATCTTGGTTTGAAGTTGCAGTGCATTATTAAGCAACCCAAATCCTAGTGATTTTCTTTCCTTAATAGTCACCATCTCCCTAGCAACAAAAGCATCCTTCCATTTTGCCCTTGTTTCCATCTGGTCTCCTGCTGATAAACAGTGACCCCCCCCACCCAGGCAATGGAGTCTCCATCTGAGTGTTCTTTTCTCTCTTCAGCTCTCTGCACTACAAGCCAAGGTCCACTATCTCAAGTTTCTCAGTGACCTGCGACTGTATGGGGGCCGTGTGTTCAAGGCAACATTAGTGGTAATTTCTTTTTTCTTGCCTTTTCTTGGGAGCCATAAAAGCCTGTACAATGTCCCAGTAGAAGCTGTCTTGGGTGAACTGTCCCTGATGACAAAAGCAAAGCAGCTGTGAATCTTTCCCAGCCTTCATTCTTAATGGCCTTCCCCACAGTTAAAAGGTATCTGAAGTCATATAAAAGCTAGATTAACACTACTGCCCTAGAAAATGAAATTTGAAGAAACTAAAGAGAATCCAAGGACTCTAACAATGGCAGCAGTTTTCAGCCACCGTACCAGAAGTTGCTTCCACATCAAAGAAAAGAGAAAAAAAAGCATCATTTCTAAAAGAAATCCTCTGATGAATATCACTTCATTGTGTCCTAAGTTATTCATAATTTATCAGAGCCTTGATTTCGTCACATAGCTGATTCTTTTCATTGGATGATTAAGGCCAATGTGGCCTAGAATTCTTTTCTAAAGAAAATGTGATCTTATATTTTTAAAAATCCCAAAGCAAAAGACACAGCCCCACAGGTTCAATGTTGCATGGCTGCTCAGAAGTTGGAACTTTCAAATACTGTGTCAGCATTTCTTTCTCAGCAGGCAGAAAAGCGCTCAGAAGTGACTCTTCTGGTTGGGCCCCGGTATGGCATAAGTCATGTCATAAATACCAAAACCAATCTGGTGGCTCTTCTAGCTGACTTCAGCCATGTCAACAGAATTGAAATGTTTACTGAAGAGGAGAGCTTGGTGAGGGTGGAGCTTCATGTGCTAGATGTGAAGGTAAGCCTCTCACAGGTCTGCACATAGCCCTGGTTTGAGCAGCTCATTTCTGGTAACACTTGATGGCCTTTACAAACTAGGTAAAATGAATGCCAGAAGAATCTCAGAGATGTCATGTGATGCAGGAACAATCCACTCAATTGAAGCCCAAGGGCTCTAGTCCTCACTAAACTGCTATGTGATTAGGAAGAAGTTACTGTACTTCTCTGAGCACAATTTCTTCATTTATACATAAGAAGCAAAGCCCTAGCATTTTTTTATATTCCTTCTAACGTTAGTATATGAAACATCGACGGTCAGAGAGCTGTTTCCCAAATCATTTCCTAAACCAATATGACATACAGTGAGTCAGTGGAATTTTCCCCAACATTCTTTAGAATTCTCATTCCTTTTGGCTGTTGTGATTATGCATTTTAGGAAAGATGAGGACTTTAGTCACTTGATCTTCTCACGGAATAGCAGTATGTATTAATTAAGCATCTGACCCCTCTGAAATGTCATGGTCATTCATTTAAAATGACCATCTGAAATTGTCCACAATAAATTAAACTCTACTTTCTAGGGGGGGAAAAGGTCAACAAGAAACAATCTCATGTTTGTCCCAGTAAAGATATGCTGTTGGATTTTAGCTAGGTATACATATTTTATGATTGTAGGGAGAAAAGCAACCAGGACCTAAGGGAGGTAATGCCTGAACAAAGGAGATTGCGCCAGCCAGCCAGGAGAGTTGGCTTTTTAAGGGCAATTGAGAATGAGAGGAAAGAATTTCCACAAAGAAAATCAGAATACATCAGTGTATTCTGCAGCTGGAACAGATGACCATCACAAGACAGAGCATGTAGCTCAGACATATTTCCTGTGGCCTGTGGGAGTTTATGAGCTCAATTCAGACAAGTTACAAGCATGAGAATAAATCTGAATATTGCTCCTAATTCATGACCAATTTGGCTGAGAAAAATAGACCCATCATGGGAAAAGGGGCAGAAGAAGAGTGAAGGGAATGTAGTCCTTAGAGACCTACTAAGTAGAATAAACAGTCCCAAGTAGAGAGAAAGGGTGAGACCCCAGTTAGTAAACAGCGTTCTGCTTGTATCAAATCATTCTGAATTAGCTTAGAGGCTGGGAAGACTTTAATTGAGGCAGAAAAAAAGACAGTTCTTTGGATCTGAAGTCCTATTTCACCACATAGGAACATTGGACTTGGCCAGGTCCTTTTCCTGGGAATGACAGAAGACACTTTTCATCTTGCTGTCTTTACTTCTCTTGGTGTCTGCTTTTGTCTCTCATTTATTTCTCTCTTGCCTTCTGTCTCTATTTATACTCTTCCAAGTTAATACAAAACAATTTCTTCATCAATACCATCCTCCCTCTATACCAAGTTCCAGTCCAGTTATATAACCTCGTGGGTTCTAGTAAGTTTCAACGAGGCTTTGCTCAACTCTCAGCACTAGTTTACTTTTCCAGAAATTTACAAGTTGCTTTAAAAGCCCTTTCCTGGATCTCTTTGGCACTTTTCATTTAGTTCTAGAAGAAGTTTCCATTTGAATTTGACTTCTCTTTAACACTAATTTTCACAAGAAATCCCAGTTAATCTTCCTGCGATTTTCACATTCTTGATTCATTTCTGATAATGGAAGTAACTCTTAACTATCACTGCTTTGAATGTTAACTATTAAGAACCCAAAACATACAATTTTCTTTTCCTTTTTTCTTTTTGTTTTATTGCAGTCTAATTTGGAAGAGATTTAAAATGCCCAAGCTTTCTTAAAAATGTTTTTCATTCAGGTACTTTTTCTTCCCATTTGTGTTTCTCCAATTCACAAGTTTGTTCAATAGCTCCTGTTGTCTATATTTCATAACCACAGATGTAGCTGTTGATACTCAAGGGAGCTTCTAAAGGAATGATAGCATTAACGGACGTATCTTTTCTTATGTAGCCTATCACCCTTCTCATGGAATCGTCAGATGCCATGAACTTGGCCTGCTTGACAGCTGGATACTACAGGCTCCTTGTGGATTCCCGGAGGTCAATATTTAACATGGCCAACAAGAAAAATACAGGGACCCAGGACACAGGTATTTTCTTTCTAAACTCATGGAGCACTGCCCACCTCTACCTCTACCAGCACTACCACCAGTACCACTTCCAAATATCACCTAACAACAATAGGGTGCTCTTTTTAAAAAGTTAAAATTGTGCCAGGCATGTAGCTCATATCTAATTCCAGCTACTTAGGAGGCAGCAATCAGGAGAATCAGAGTTCAAGGCCAGCTTGGGCAAAACATAGCAAGACCTCCAACTCAATCAATAAAATGTGTATGGTGGTGCCTACCTGTCTACCAGCTATAGAGGAGGTGATAAGGGTAGGTAGGAAGATGGCATAAGGCCTTGCATGAAAAATAACTAAAAAGGGGCTGGGGATGTTGTACTAAAGTGCTCAGAGTTGAATCCCTACTGAAAAAAAAGAAAAGAGACAGATGTTGGTGGCTCACACCTGTAATCCTAGCTACTCAGGAGGCAGAGACCTGAGGATCTCAGTTCAAAGCCAGCCAGGGTAAGAAAGTCTATGAGACTCTTATCTCCAATCAACTACCAAAAAACTTTAAGTGGTGCCATGGCTCAAAGTGGTAGAGTGCTAACTGTGAGCAAAAGAGCTCAGGGATAGCTCCCAGGTCCTGAGTTCAAATCCCATGACTGACAAAAAGAAAAGGAAGAGAAAAACTAGATTGTATCCACAAAAATATTTAATACTTAAATCAACACAAAAGTCTTCCAATACTGCTAGTATGGTTTAATTATTAAAAGTGAACATGCTGATTCCCCATCACATTTGACATGTCACTTTGAAAGGTCAAGCCATTGTTTCAAAGGCATCAATTTTATTACTGTGAGAATGTTCATGGCTGAGATATACAAATATATATTTTTATTTGTGATACTGGAGATACAAATCAGAGTCTCTTGTACGCTAGGCAAGTGCTTTGAGAGTGAGTGGTTCTCATTTTTTCAGTATTTAAACATTTTCCTTCATCTATTATTGTGTAAGCTAAATAATTGTTGTTTTTTTTTTTTTTTTTTGGGTCCGGTCATGGGGCCTGAACTCTGGGCCTGGGCGCTGTCCCTCAGCTCTTCAGTTCAAGGCTAGCGCTCTTCCACTTGAGCCACAGCGCCACTTCCGGCTTTTTTCTTTTTGTTTATGTGGTGCTGAGGAATCGAACCCAGGGCCTCTGGCATGCAAGGCATGCGCTCTACCACTGAGCCACCTTCCCAGCCCCATGTAAGCTAAATAATTGTGATTAATAGACACCATAATTCAAGGCATAGCCAACAATCTACTAAAAAATATAAAACAAGGGTCCATAATTAAGATTTCTTTTAAAAGAAAGAGAATTCTTAAGAGTAAACGCAGGGTGGTTGGGAATGTGGCTTAACGGTAAAGTGCTTGCCTAGCATACATGAAGCTCTGGGTTTGATTCTTTGGCACTGTGGCTCAAGTGGTAGAGTCTAGCTTTTAGCAAAAAGAAGCTCAGGGACAGTGCACAGGCCCTGAGTTCAAGTCCCAGGACTGGCAAAAAAAAAAAAGGAAATTCATTGTCATTGGAAAAAAGAAAAAAATCAGGAAGAATATTTCTGTTTTTCTGTGTGTCGGTACTGGAGCTTGGACTCAGGGCCTGGGCATTATCCCTGATGTGTTTGCTCAAGGCTCAACCTCTATCACTTAAGTCACAGCTCTACTTCCAGCTTTTTGGTGTTTAAGAAGAGTCTCATGGACTTTCCTGCCTGGGCTGGCTTTGAACTGTGATCCTGAGCCTCCTGAGTAGCTAGGATCACAGGCTTGAGCCAGCAATGCCCAGTGGAAAATTCATTTTTAAGATGCGCAGAAAACATAAGTCTCTATCCCCTAAATATACTATAATATCCACATGCATACTGACTTACAGTTTATTATGAAAAAAGGAAGTCAGTGAAAGAGAGAGAAATGGATAGCATATGTTCCAAGGCAACTTTGACTTTCCAATTAGATTAATCTAACATTATTTTTTTTGTTGGTCTTAGGGTTTGAACTCTGAGCCTGGGCGCTGTCCCTCAGCTCTTTAGATCAAGGCTTGCCCTCTACCACTTGAGCCACAGCACCACTTCAGTTTTCTGGCAGTTTATTGGAGATAACAGTCTCACATACTTTGTGTGGGCTGGCTTTGAACCATGATCCTTACATTTCAGCCCCTTGAGTAGCTAAGATTACAGGTGTGAGCCACAGGTGCCCAGCCCAATCTACAATTTTTTTTTAGTGGTACTGGGGTTTGAACTCAGGATCTGTTGCTTCCTAAGAAGATGTTCTCCCACTGAACTACACAGCCAGTGAAATGGACCTAAAATTTAATCTGCATCCCCACGTGGAAGTGCATGTATTTTCAAATTTCTCTCTAAGGGTGGGTTTCCTCACCCATATAATTTAGGGATTAAAAGTTTAGCTTCAAGATAAGCATTACAAAAGAAATCTATGTACAATACCTAAAAATAATGCTCAATACTTCTGCTAATATTTTAAATTTAAATATTTTAAAAAATGATGGAAAGCTTTTGAGGATGGAAATGATAGACATACATAAAGGTCGAGGAAAAGCAAGCCTGAGGCAAAGAGCACTCCTGAGAGACACAGATAACTAAAAATAATTAGAGAAAGGAGTAAAGCAAAAATATGTTTTGGATGAACATCAGCTTTGGTGGTGAACATTTTTATGGCCACATGCTTTCATTGAGTAAAGAGATTTAGAGCAATTCAACAATGACCTTTGAAGTTCCAAAAAGCAGTTCAACAATTTAACACAATCCTTTCACACTGAAAAACTAGTTTGGAGCTTTTTATTTTCAAATCTTAAAAGTTCACCTTCAGAATAGAATCTTTTCTCTATGGACTGTCAAAATTGTACAAGTATGGGAAGAAATTCAAACATATCATTGTAAAAATGGTTAGAGTAATAGAGTTTTGCCCAATTTATAATGACTGACAATACAATGTCCAGTAAACCTGAGAAGCAAAACTTAACTTATAAACAGTATTATTACTAGCCAGGTGCTGGTTGCTCAAACCTGTAATCTTAGCTACTCAGGAGGCTGAGATCTGAAGATCGTAGTGCAAAGCCAACCAGGGAAAAAAAATCTGTGATACTCTTATATTCAGTTAACCACCAATAAGCCAGGAATGGATTTGTGGCTCAAGTTGCAGAGTACGAGCTTTGAGAATTAAAACAAAAAAAAAAAACCTCAGGGTCAGTGCCAGGTGCTTGCTGCCATTAGAAGGTGCTAGGTCTGGCTAAGTATCATTAACTGAATACGTATTATTAAACTTGGTTTTAGCCACTTGAATACTGAGCTTTCTTGTTGGCCCAAATTAGCAGTTGGCAAACTATGGTCAATGGGCTGAATAATGTTCTTATTAATAAAGTTTCATTAAAATTCAATCACATATATTGCACTACTTTCCCGGGGCTGCTGTAACAAGCTATTACAACCCCGGTGAGTTAAACCAACAGAAATTTGTTCTTTCACAGTTTGGAAGGTCAGAAATCCAAAATCAAGTTGTGAGCAAGGCTGTACTTTCTCCAAAGGATCTAAAAGAAGATCCTTCCTTGATTCTTCCCACTTTTGATAGCTGTGCCAATCTAGTCTTTGTCTCTTGTCTTCACATGACATCTGCCTCTTGTATGAATAGCCCAAATCTTCCTCTGCCTCTCTTTTTCAAAGACAAGTATTCAATTGAAGCCCACATGGAAAATTCAAGATGTTCCCTCTTCAAAATCCTTAATTTTAATTTTTTTTTCTTATAGGATCACATCTCGAATAAGGTCACAGTCTCAAAGTAGATATGTCTTTGGGGGGGGCCTCTCTATTCAACCCATAATCCTATTTGTTTAGATATCATGAATAGTTACTTTTGCATTAGAATAACAGACTTGAGTAGCTGTCCAACTGAACAGTTGGCCTGAGACATAAAGTATTTCTCTGGCCCTCCTTTTACTCAAAATATTTTCCAACTCCTGTTCTAAACCTAGAGCCCTGTTACAACACAACTTTACTGAACTGTTTCTCCCAACAGCAAGCCACATTACACACACATACACTCATGTACACACACCTGCACATAGAGCCCATTATAATCTAAAGTCTTATTGCTGATAAAATAGTGTTGCTGCCTCATAAGGCATATTTATTATATAATATGATGCAAATATGGCCAGTGTCCTCTAAGTGTCACTTAGTAAATAACTCTGAACATTGTTTACGATAAACCCCATTCAGTAATTTGGGGACAGCCAAAACTACTTTTGTAACACTGATTTTCTCATATACATATGGTGTCAGTATTACCATAACTTGAGCCAGAGGGCAATCTAAAAGAAAACATGGAAGAATGGTAGAAGCTTAAATTTTCCTCCTAATGTTGCCTCTGGAATCCACAAAGCAAAGGCAAAATGATGACCTAGTTCTCTATCTTGTTAAAAATTTCCACATAAAACACATCCATATTAACACATACTTAAAGAGTAAATAAAATAATAATGTTTAAATTGGGGCCTTTGCAATTTTAATTCATGAGGAGCATCAAAACCAGTCTTCATGAGCTCCCATGTTGCAAACTAAAACTAGTCTAAATATGAACTATGCTTAAAACTATCTGGGATATGTCTATAAATGTATCACATTATACATTATATACTCACATACACTTATGTAAAGGTATAAATACTGACATTTGTACATGAATGTATTTCACCACTAGGATATAAATAGGCTGAAGATAGAGATGAAATATTTATTTCACTTTCCTAAAAACTGTGGCACAATACAATGATATTTGACCTTCTCTTAAAGAGAATATTTGCCTCTACCATGTGGTGAATGTTAGAGTTCACTTTATCAAGAAAAGGGCAATTTATTTTCTTGCAAATGGCCTATTGAATTATCGCCATTAAAGTTCTGAATTGCTTGTTTTCTATTTATATTTAAATATGTAAGTAAGGTCTAGTAATACAACTAATAGTAAGAGGAAATTAAGCTAGAGTTGCCCATTCCCAAATGGTGTTACATTTTATCCATTAGCAATGATTATTTTTAATATAATTTTATTATCTTGAAGTAGTTGTGCAATAGGGTTTGAATTCAAAATGCCAGATTATGAATACAAATCATCTTGATCAAACTTACCCCTTCTATTATTCTTCCATGTCTTTCCCAACCCCACCCATCCCCTCAAGATACCTGCTTCCATTTTCACATATGTACATTGAACATGGTGACTGTATTCACCCACCCCCTCCTCTCCTTTTGTCTGCTTTCCCTCTCTATGTGTTCTCTCCCAACAATGCAAATTTCAACTTCCTAGTATTTATTTTGTTAAACTGTGAGTTAGTTCTTCCAAGGAGTTATACCATGGCAATACAATACCAAATGCATTAAGAGCAATTCTAACCAAGGAATCTTTACATCTAGAACCTAAATTTAAAAGTTGAATAACTATATTTACACAAGGGATATAGCAAACCATTAAATTGAGAAACCCAGATGACATTGCTCGCCCTCAAACCAGACAACATAGTAACGTATCTGCACAATTCTTTCTCTTTAGGAACTGAAAATAAAGGAAAACATCACCTCCTTGGTCCAGACTGGAATTGTGTGCCCCAAATGACTACCTTTATTGGTGAAGGGGAACAAGAAGCCCAGATAACATACATCGACTCCAAACAGAAAACTGTTGAGATGACAGACAATACCATGTGTCCAAAAGATCACCGACATTTGTATATAGACAACACATATAATTCCGATGAACTTAATCAGCCACTGACCCAGCCAGGCGATGCCCCTTGTGAGGCAGACTACAGAAATCTCGCTCAGCATTCCTTATTGACCCTCTCAGGACCAGAAACTCTAAAGAAAGCACAGGAATCTCCGAGAGGAGCCAAAGTGTCCTTTATTTTTGGAGATCTCGCATTGGATGATGGGATGAGTCCCCCAACTCTCGGCTATGAAAGACTGTTAGAAGAGAGTCCAGACATGCGGGAGAAGCAGAGGAGTCTCTATATAAGCAGTGCCAATGACATGAAAAGCCTGGATCTCACTCCAGACTCAGAGAGCATCCAGTTTGTGGCAAATTCTGTTTATGCGAACATAGGTGACGTGAAGAACTTTGAGGCCCCGGAGGGTATAGAGGAACCCCTCTTGCATGACATCTGTTACGCTGAAAACACTGATGATGCTGAAGATGAGGATGAAGTAAGTTGTGAGGAGGACCTCGTGGTAGGGGAGATGAGCCAGCCAGCCATCCTAGACCTGTCAGAATCAAGCGATGACATCATTGACCTCACGACCCTGCCCCCGCCAGAAGGGGATGACAACGAGGATGACTTCCTGTTACGTTCCTTGAACATGGCCATTGCTGCCCCTCCACCTGGCTTTCGTGACAGTTCAGATGAAGAGGACACTCAGAGCCAGGCAGCGTCCTTCCGGGAGGACAAGGCACAAAGCAGCAGCCTACAAAATGATGAGATCCCAGTATCCCTCATTGATGCTGTGCCCACCAACGCTGAGGGAAAATGCGAGAAAGGACTGGATCATGCTGTCGTTTCCACACTGGAAGCTCTAGAAGCTCTGTCCGTGTCAGAAGAACAGCAGACCAGTGACAATTCAGGTTCTTTCACGATTGTTACGTTTATTCACTGATAACATGTCATGCCATACCTTCGAGCCATGTGTCCTTGGAGTCATGTGCTGTGGTGTTCTCATTTCCCCATGTCCCCATTTCATAAATGAGCAGAAATACCATCCTAGGGCTTGTGTTATGTGATGTCCTTTGTTGTTATTTTTTTAAGACATATGCCACCTCCCCTCCCCAATTTCTGGAACAAGTATGCAATAAACTAAGTGTCCTTACTGAAGAGGGAGAACGTTGCTTTTGCTTTTGGTTTGGTTTGTGTTTAAGTAATAATGAGTCCCATGTTCTTACATGTCTCCATGTTCCTGTGCAGCATCCATTAATTGCTTCTTGTTTTTTACGGCATGCAGGTGTAGCCATCTTACGGGCTTATAGTCCTGAGTCTTCATCAGACTCAGGCAATGAAACTAACTCTTCCGAAATGACTGAGAGTTCTGAATTGGCCGCAGCCCAAAAGCAGTCTGAAAGCCTCTCTCGCATGTTTTTGGCCACTCATGAAGGCTACCACCCCCTTGCCGAAGAGCAAACAGAGTTCCCCACGTCCAAAGCCCCCACAGGGGCCTTGCCTCCAAAGTCCTCACACGGCCTGGCTACTCGTCCAGGGACCGACCTGCAACCCAAAGTTGTGCCTTCCAAGCAGATACTTCACTCAGACCACATGGAGATGGAACCGGAAACCATGGAGACTAAATCAGTCACTGATTATTTCAGCAAACTGCACATGGGGTCCATGGCATATTCCTGTACCAGCAAAAGGAAAAGCAAGCTGGTTGAGGGGGACGGGAAAGCTCCCCTAAGTGGGAGTACCCCGGGAAAAAAACAGCAGGGATCCAAAACAGCCGAGATGGAGGAGGATGTCAAAGGCAAAGTTGGTCCTGTTTCTTCTCGGGACAGCCAACACCTCAGCACTTTTAACCTAGAGAGAACTGCCTTTCGCAAAGACAGCCAAAGATGGTATGTGGCCTCTGAAGGTGGGGTGGCAGAGAAAAGTGGAATGGAAGCGGCAGCTGGCAAAGCCTTTCCCAGAGCCTCTGGTCTGGGGACGAGGGAGACTGAAGGGAAGGAGGAAGGAGCTCTGGATGGAGAATCCAGTGATGTTTCAGGTCTTACCCAAGGGGATCGCTTCCTAACAGACGTGTCCTGTGTGTCTTCAGCCAAAGACGTAGACAATGCAGAGGATGCTGACTCGCCCGCTTGCGACCATACCTCCAAGCTTCCAGAGGCAGAGGAGAGTGTGGGCCGCCTTTGTGATTACCATCTGGCCAAGCGGATGTCATCGTTGCAGAGTGAGGGCCATTTTTCTCTCCAGAGCTCTCAAGGCTCCTCAGTGGACACAGGCTGTGGTCCAGGCAGCGGCAGCAGCACGTGTGCCACTCCTGTGGAGTCACCTCTGTGTCCCTCTATGGGGAAGCACTTAATTCCAGATGCTTCTGGGAAAGGTGTGAGTTATATTTCTTCTGAGGAGAGAGCCACTGGCCTTCCCAACCATGGAGCTGCCTTTAAAGAAATGCTCCCCCAGCCGGAAGGGATGTGTCCACGGATCACAGTGCCTCCTCTGCACACAGCCATTAATGCCGACCCCCTGTTTGGCACTTTGAGAGACGGATGCCACCGGCTGCCCAAGATCAAGGAAACCACAGGTACAGCAATGATGGATTGAGGTAGCATCACGTGCCCAGGAGCATGTCAACCACCTTGCCAAGAAAACTAAAATTACAAAGTTCAGAAGAAAAGTAAAGGGTAAAAAAAATGCCACAGAAGTGTTAAGTAGCAATCACTTGACTTCTTAGTATTTAATAAATAATCTAGAACAAGGTTAGGCATGTCCTTTATCCTTATAATCTTGTTCTGCTCTTGCTTGTAGAATATGATTTAGAGATATTTTTCTAAGCCCTAAATGCAGATTTTAGCAGAGTCAAGTGTGACTCTTAATGGCAAGGTAACATTGCTTAAAATCACACAACAATTGGATTTCCTGCTCATTTCATTTCTAGTCTTGCCATTTTATTGTTGATTAATAAGGACAGATAATAGAAGAGGCTCTATGAAATTCTGGAGGGGTCTGAGAAAGCATATGTCTTTCAGCAGTCTTAAAAATTCCCTCCTCCTTTGGCCTACTCCTCCCTAAAAAAATGTTCTCAATTGTCTGGAAGATATCAGTACTGGAAAGACTTTGGAGGTATAGAGGATGAGCTGCTGCATCCCCTGCCTCCGAAAAAAATTAAGAAATTCTAGAACAAGTCAAAACAAGGATTCAACCATCTTTGTTACCCATTCTATTCTATGCAAAAATCCTCTCGCTGATTCACATGGCTGGCCACTGGGTAGCAAAGTCAGTGTTTCCAATATTTCAGTTTATCAATATAGATCTTGTCCACATTAGTTGATAGCTATTACTGAAATCTTATACTAGTCCTTTTGTATTCCTATCCTTTAAGAAAAACTTTAAAGAGCTTACAGATTTTCTATTTTCCCCAAACCCATCATTGGTGGGGTCAGCCTTGGGAAAACCATCTGCCCACCAAGGTCATCACCAAACTGCATCTTCACCACTAAATGACTACAATGACACTTTCCATCCCCTTTAGTTTACAAAGAGTGTTTACTCTTGCTTGCTTGCTTACTTGTTCATTCTTACTGCTTCCTCCTCTTCATATGACAGCTTTCGTAAGAAAGTTCCAACAATTTTCTCAGTATCTTGACTTCAAGCTTATACCAGGCAAACCACATACCTCATGCTGCCCACTTTTAAAAGGTTAGCTGAATTAATTTGCATTAATTTGATTAGGCCACTTGTTTAAAATACATAAAAGGTAACTGTTGCCAGGATTAACCCTACTTTGAATAATCTGTACATTAAGATATGTTTTCTATGTGTCTAAGCTTTGCTAGATAAATATTGTAAGCAAGGTAATGCATGAAATTCCATTGTTTCTGTGAATGTTTGGGATATCTAGATAATTCCAAATAAATCTATTGTTCCAAAAAGGGCAGCATTTCTCCCCAATCATTGATATGGAAATGTGAGTTATGAGCAGGCAGTCTTTGGAAAGCAAGGTGGTCCTAACCTCTCTAGAACAGCTATTCTAGAATGCATCCTTGAGAAATGGCAGTCATCACAAAGAAATGTTGTGAAAACAGCTACCCAGGAAAGGCTAATGAATCTCTCTGTTTTTCTACTACCCCTAGTGTAGCTTTGACAGAGCCTGGGAAGGAGAGACGAGGAGGCATGCCTTCAGCTTGGTCTCAACATCCTGAAGCTGATCCCATCCTGCTACCATCAAACATTCACTCGGAATCAAAGGTGCCAATTCCAAATCAAGACCCTAATGATTTCTCCCAAGCAAATCAGGCATTCGGAGAGGTTGTGAGCTGGCGGCCAGCAGATCTGAAAGGGAGGAGCCTCAGGACCCCTCCCAGCCAGAGGGCTCTCCGACATAGCAGCAGTATCCTCTCAGAACCCATAGGTTTGGAGGCCTTCCGAGAAAGAAACAAGGGTGTAGTCAGCCTGAAGTATCCAGGTATCACAGAAGCACAGGAGGCCAGTTCAGAAAGGCGAGCCGAACTCCCCCTGGGGAAGAAGCTCACCAAGAGTTTGTCCCAAAGTTCAATGCACTTTAGTTCAGAGGGGAAGTTTCACAAAAGGTCCCCAGTGACTCATAAAGACTCAAAGCTGTACAGGACTTTACCCTTGCGGAAGCCAGAGGGCAGTCATTGGAAATGCCGAGGACCCTTCAGCTACTGTTTCCTGAACCGAGGCCAGGATGAAGATGGTGATGAGGATGAAGAGGAGGGAAAAGCCACCCTCCAGGTCTCTTGCCTTTATGGACAGCAGGTGACTCAAGCCATGCTAGAACCAAGCAACCTTTCCCCAGCTGGTGGGATTCAAAAGCAAGGTGGGGAACTGTCCAGAGGATCAGTGCTGAAGGTCTGGACAGAAGACCTGAATGGCCCAGATGACTTTGACTTTAGCAATTTGGCCTTTGATGCCCGGATTGCAAGAATAAACGCCCTAAAAGACAGCACCTACGCAATGCCTGATGGGTTCCTTGCAGCCCAAAATGATGCCAATGAGCTGCTCTGCCTTGTCAGGGCAACCAAGGGAAAGAGAGAGGAGTCACGCCCTGAAGCATATGATCTTACACTTTCTCAATACAAGCAACTGTTATCCATCGAGTCCAGACAGTTGGGAAGTGCCTGTAGGAAAATGGCAATGGCTGAGAAAAGCCCGGAGGAGATGCTCCTAGCTATGACTTCCAGCTTCCAAGTGCTCTGTTGCCTAACAGAAGCCTGCATGCGATTAGTGAAAGTCGTGAACTCAGAAACACAGCAACAGGAAATTGTAACGAAGATTGATGAAGTGGTCATAAACTACATTTGTCTCCTGAAAGCTGCAGAGGCAGCCACTGGAAAAACCACTGGGGATCCTAATATTGGACTCTCAATGCGACATTCAACCACCATGGCCGCTCTAGTAAGCACACTAACACGTTCTCTCAAGATGCTTTTAAATAAATAAATATGAAAGTCACATCATAATCTACCTTTGCAAAGCCATACATGAACTTTTATTTACTTTCTGTGTACGATGAACAGACGTCTCCTTTCTTCTCTCTGTATATTTTGTTATTTTGTATGAAATAGGAGATAAAAGTTACACTGATGAAATGTTGAAATGTCCTAATCAGATGTATTGTTTATACTATACATATATATATATATACACGTGTAAGAATTATATGAGAAAATGATGACATTTGGCTATTTTTCATATAGTCAAAACTCCAGGTATATGATATGAAATTTTAAATTCTAGCGTGTTAGACCAAAACAATGAATCCTATCCCCTCTCCTTCCAAGAAGATACTTAGAAAACATATCATTCATATTTAGAAGTAAAAACCAAAAGAAAATTTAGAAAAGAAATCACAATGTATATAAAGCAGTACTTATGTTTTAAAACGTATGATTTTTAAGCATTGGAAATAGCAAAAAGGCATTTAAAATTCAAAAAGCTATTATGAATTATTAGAGACTATATAATAAATTAACTTTTGTGCATAGTGTTTGGTTATTGGACGCTTTCTTCCAGGAATCCCACATATTTAATTTTAGTTTATATTATTTGGGCTACAGATGTGTTGGGAGGTAGATTCTACCTTGTCAATATAAATGATCCTCACAGTGTTTCTAAAATTGAAAAGCTTCCCAAATAGAACTAAGAGAAGGATGGGAAGGTTCAGAGGCCATATCTAGAGATATAGATTATCTAATTACATAAGATGAATGGAACTAATAATACCAAAATTCAGTTAATGAACAGAGAGATCTGCTTTGACTAAATGTCAAGATATAGAAACCAAAGACATTATCTTCCCCCACCCCCAACATAGTCATGAAGCTCAAAAGTCCCTGTAGAGAGACTGAACAGTTAGTAAAGTAACTGCAAGATTAAGAAACATTTAATGACCAGGAATAGTCAATACAAACCCAGTAATGTAATCCAGACCATACACCAGCATCTGCGCAGCACAGCTCAACAATCAGACCTACATGAGGCTTCCTTCAGTACCCTTCCAGGAGCCACGGCTACTGATCAAATTTGAATGCCAGCCTAACAACAGGACAAAAGTTCAAATCTGGAATGTTCCAGAAAAATCAGTGAGAGATGACTACTCTCATAACAGAAGCCATGAACAAACAAATAATAAAATATTAAGTAAGTATTTAATCTAGATCAGGTGATGAAAATATGAAATCCCAAATAAACAATGGTTGGTTAATGTGACCAATTTAGTGAAACTAACGGAATGGAAAGAAGTTTTCAACTGTCATTTCTCTAAATAAATATATTTATATGTGTGGGTCAAAACAAAATGATGAAATATTTATGATCATAAAATAAAATTGATATGTACATATGTATTTTCTGGGTCCTTCAGTGTTAAAGCTATGTGCACTCTTACATATGTAAGTGGCTCCTTAGAATATGACAGTAGTATACCAAGTACAAATATTTCCATTTTTGTAACCTACTGGGCAGGAGGCCTAACACATTCCACAACTATCATCTCTTTCTAGTCCACCATTCATTCCACAATGACTCAACAACAAAAGATTTATAGATGGCAGCAAATGAAAGGAGTTCAGGCATGAGCTATTATAAATAATGTTTAATTAGATAATAAAACATTATTTCATGACAATTATAAATATTGATGTTTTGATGTTGAGAGATATTAGTGGTGTTTACTGTGGAAAATCTTAGTAAATATCATTCTATGTACTATATTAACATAATCACCTATACTATCTCATTTAATCATCACAACAATTGTATGGTTTGAGCAGTATCATTAATTTCTTCTGGAGGCAATATGGTTTATTAAAGGATATAAGGTTTGGGGCCAGAAACATCTTGAATTAAATTTTGGTTCTGCCATTTTTAGCCTCCTCATCTTGGCAAGTCTATTTTTTCCTAAGCTTCAATTTCTTCATAGAAAAGTGGAGATTTATTTCCATACTGTCATGAGTTTTGAGTAAAATTATGTATGTAAAGTTCTAACCATGATACCTGGCAGAGAATAAGCACTCAATGTTAGATCTTATTATCATTATCATTCTGTTGAATATATTGCCCAAGATAGTATGTGGGGGATGTTTGTTTTGTATGCATATTGTATCCTGACTGTGTGCGGAACACATTATGTGCATTGCATATATATACAGGAAAGTGTACAAGGAAATGACCCCTGTTCAAACTGCATATCTAGTTAGAACAACTTCCTAGTCCATCTTAGTTCTTTGAGAAGCCTCAGGGAAATAGCTCTGGGTCTTTCTAATCAATCTCCCCTTACCTTTGGCTGCCCCAGTAAGTTTCTGTTTCTTATAAACAAACTCTTTACTACTCAGTAAACCTCAAGAGCCCCCTCTCTTTCAGTAAGCATGGGGCTCCTAACTGGGGTCCAGGTCCACTAGCGTATAAGAAGAACATATTAGAATGATACTTGTGTTTATTTTTATCTAGCTTTTTTATGTGTGTGTATGTTTTATAATGGCATAATAGTACAGTGGTACATGTACATAATTTTAAATAAATAAATGAATGACTAAATACCTGAGCATATGCCTGGTGCATTTCAGTACCCTTTGGAGAGGACCTAACTGGAAAACAAAATTTCTTTCCTCTGGTATTTCTTCATATTCAGTCCCCAGCCTATTTTTCCAAAGGTATTGCTTACCATTTTTACTCATCTTTTATTAGAAAACCTTTACACATTTAAAAAGTAGACCCAATCATATCAAAAACCAATGGGAACTCATTATAATGGTCAATCTTATTTGTTCCATATCTACTCATATCTTTCCAGCCTAATTGATGTCATAAAAAAATCTTAGAATGTTACGTATCAATCATGTAATCTGTGACTATTTCAAGAAAAAATGCAACAGATAAGTACTTTTAAGCTTAACCAATTAATGAATTATTAATATTATAGAAGGTTCATTACATTACATAAATGGAAGACAGAGAAAGGGAAAGTCTCCTATAAACACAATCTCCAAAGTCAGTCATTGTCCACAATTTCAGTCATCCTTTTCCATCTGTTTCTGTGTATATACTAATGTTTTCATTATCATCCTGTTTGTGAACCTGACTTTGGACTCAGAGTTGGTCTGAGCACATTGGTCTTAGTTTCATCATACTTCATGTAAGCGGATTGGTCAGAAGGAATAGAACTGACATGGAAAGAGTACGCAGGTGAACAATCAGCACAGCATTAGGCTTCTAGTAAAAATCCAGTATCTAACACAATTGCTTCTGACATTCATATTAACAAAAACTCCACTGGCCCTCAATAGGTCAAGGGAGATAGTCTTACAACAAATGGCTTTCTAGAAAAAAATAAATGAAAATATGTATTGAATACCAGGTTCAGTGCCTGTAAACCCAGCTTTGTGGGTGATATATCTAGGTAGAAGAATCATAGAAGCATAAGTGGTAGACTTGTGCAGGAAAAAGCACAAGCACGAGACCTTACCTAAAAAACAGGCTACAGGTATGGCTCAAGTAGTAGAGCTCTTTTATGATGACGTCCTGAGTTCAAACTCCAATACCAGTAAGAAAAATAATTATTTTGAAATCTTGTGATATAATAGTAACACTACACTTGCTTAATATTTTTTGCTAAAAATTTCACTTTTCATTGCAATTAATCTTTTAAAAAAGACACTAGCTAAACCCAGTTGGGCTTATATTTGTAATCCTAGCTACTCAGGAGGCTGAAATCCAGAGGATTATAGTTCAAAGACAGCCCCCACAGAAAAGTCTGCCTGACTCCATTGCCAAAGTACTTAGCAAAAAGCTAGACTAGAGACAGGGCTCAAGTGGTAGAGAACTAACTAAGCAAGCATAATGTCCTGAGTTCAAACTCCGATACCACAAAAAAGGCACTCTGCCTTTGTGTTCCCCTTTTCCATATTTCCAAAAGCCAGTTATTATCTGAATGTTATTTCTTAGCTACTGAGAATATTGCTCTAGTTTCTTCTGCCTGTATTACTCATGATTTGGCAATAGAGAAAAGTTTGTTCTTCTTAGAATTGTGTCATATGTTTTGAAATTGATAAACAAGCAAACCTGCTATGTTTAGGCAATTCCTTATCTTTTCCAAACAGTTAGAAATCATGACGCATGCACAGACCCAGCAGAAAGGGGAAAAAAGAAAGAAAGCAAAGGAAACCTTTGTGGGGATCAAAATGCATGTCTTCGCTTTCAAAATGCTCAGCTTTGACTTGACTCTCTATGTTTGTGTCTCTTTACCTGCCCGTGAGATTGCCTTTCCTTTGACTTTGCAGAATTCTATGACCGTTTCCCCTCTGCCAGCCACAAACTGTAGAAACCCTTGAAGCATAGCATCCAAAAGTCTTGCTTTAAATTCAGATTTCAGGAAGAGCTCCTCAGCTTTGAAAGATCAAAGAGTAAAGAGCCTTACAATTTGAACTGAATTTTTATTCATAACAACTAGACTATCACTAAATTGAATATATTTTAGTCATTTCAGTCATTCACTTTTTAATTTCAAAGCCTTTACATCAGAAATCCTTGGGGAAACAGTCCATCTTTATCAAATATTGTTGACACACAAAATAATGGGATGAATTGAATCCTTCATTCCTGCAATAAATAGATGTTCAATTATCCCAAGCAGTTTATGAAAATAATCTTCTGCCAGCTGAACTCATTCTCATGTTTACTCTGTATTTATAATTCCATCTCAATGTTCTCTTCCATATTAATTTAAGAGCCTTAGGTTTGGTTCCATTCTTTCTATTAATTCTCATTCTCGATAGTCTGGCCCAAAATTCAGTGTTCTTTGTGGCATCATTATTCACATGTACAGACAAAATTCACTTTGGTGGTAAAATATATGTAGAATGTGGGAAACTTAGCTTTCTTGGTGACTTCCAATCAAGTATTATTTCTGTTGTTTTCATTTTTATTAGTGGCTATTTTTTTCTTTCCATTTCACTAGTGAGCAATGACATAATCAGGAACTTTCTAAAATGAGAAAACATGGTGTTAAGTGTTGAAGGAGGGTACAATGATGGAGATGATTGACAGTTACTGCCCCAAATGAAGTATCTATTCTAGAATGGGCAAACTGTGATCATTTCCCTAGAAAGAAGGAGTTCAAAGCCACTCAGCAGTATAGGCAACCCTAATTTGCATCACCAGTGAATGGCTAGAGAGGGGACAACCTCAAACTGTAAAGACTGATCTGAAGCACTCAATAAGAAAAAAAATCAGTTGTTAGATGATGTATACATTATTGATCTATTTTTTTTTGGTCGGTCATGGGGCTTGAACTCCACCTGGGCGCTGTCCCTCAGCTCTTCAGCTCAATGCTAGTGCTCTACAACTTGAGCCACAATGCTACTTTCAGTTTTCTGGTGGTTAATTGGAGATAAGAGTCTCTCAGACTTTTCCTACACTGGCTGATTTTGAACCATGATCCTTAGATCTCAGCCTTCTGAGTAGGTACCATTACAGACATG